AATGTCTTTCACCTCAGGTATTTACTAGAGAAAAAGACTTTTCTAAGAACCATAGTCTTCATTCTCAATAAAACTATCTTTTGCTCTCATATCCTATAAATTAAGTAACATATTTTACATACTCATCAGGGGAATTAAGCTTTAATTATGTATCGCTAAGCCACAGTATGACATGATTTAGTGCTATAGAAAGCCACAATTAGGCCATAGCCAATATCAAATAAATACTAATAAATACTAATATATAAAGCCATCTTTCTGAAAATAAAAAAGAACATGGAAATATTTACGTCTTTAGCAAGAAGACTGAGTTCATCTTAAAAACACTGAAAAAACAAGTAGACTTAACTGTAAAGCTAAGTAAATCCTTTTGTTATGCCCAAAATTTATAATGTCTTAGTAACCAGAAAACACACAGTGTGCAAACCACATGCAGCTAAACTCAATTTTAACTGGCTAAAGCCCAGAAACAATTTTTCTTTGTTTGAAAAATTATCAATCTTTAGCAATGTTGTTTTTTTATTCAAATCTTAATACTCAGTATGAATCTGCATAAACTGATCATTACTTTATATGTGATTACGATTTATTAACTCCAAGGAAGTCTTGCCTGTATAATTTTTCCAGAGTATTCATGTTGGGGAAGGCACAGCAAGCATTCTAACATTGACATGCTCAAATGTTTTATAAAATTTTATGAAAATCTCCTTTCAGGATTTTCTAGGCACTGTGTAGAAGGTATGCTGAGGGAGGCATCACTGTTTCTCTCCATTAAAAACGAGAGGCCAGCCCTGGCAGGTTTGGCTTAGTGGACAGAGCATCAGCCTGCGGATTCAAGGGTCCAGGGCTCAATTCCCAGTAAAGGTTACATGCCCAGGTTGCGGGCTCGATCCCCAGTGTGGGGCATGCAGGAGGCAACCGATCAATGATACTCTCTCATCATTGATGTTTCTATCTCTCCCTCTCCCTTCCTCTCTGAAATCAATAAAAATATATATTTAAAAAATAAAACAACACCTCTGTTTTATTATAAAACAAATAAACAAAAAATCTAGGGGCCAAAACAATCCTCTTATCCTTCTTAACTGGGAATGCAAAGACGAGTAGTGCTACAGAAAATTTTCTTTATTAATTGCTACTAAACATTTAACTACATATAAAGAACTATTATTTATTGAAAATAAGCACAAAGTGCAATGCCCAGGCGCACATACGTGACGTGGGGATATTAACAAAGGAAGCAAGGGCTGGAGGCAAGCAGGAGACGCCCAGAACACTGACAGACACATGAGAAAGCATTACAGTACCTGACAGCCTGTGAGAGCAAGAGGAGTAAGAGAGACCAGGTAAGAGAGCGCTCACGGTGTGAAGGAGGAGCGGGACGCTTTTAGTGGCAGGCAAAGCCTCAGAAAGTTGGACACAGTTGCTGATAGACTGGCTTCTCTGAGCTTCCAGGAAAGATAAAGTAATAATTATGTCAGAAGAACATCAGGATCTTTCACTGCTTTTTTATTATCATCATTTTTCTGGGCTCTCTTTAAATAGAGAAGGGGGCAAAAGTAGGTTTACAGTGGTGAGTATGCGAAAGTTTATTCTTGTAGTATAATTAATTGTTGTATTATTTTCCACAGGAACAACTGCAGACCTACTTTTGCCCCACCCTGGATTTAAAGGAGGCCACTTTAAACTTGACAGGCAGTCAGTACAAAGGACGTTCAGTCATTCTGATGACATGGGAGAATGGAGAGTTCACAAATAACTAATCTTATTTTAGAATGCTTTATATGTTTAGCCTGTCTTGTTTTCTGCTGTTTATCAGATGCACATTTGGTTGTTTATTTAATTGGGCAGATATTATAATCAATTTTCCCTTCCTAAAGAACACGAACAAAAAAACCACAGTGAGAGAGGGAAAATCTAGCCTAAGCTTAAAAGTATCCTATAAATAATACATAATTCAAAAATTGGCTCACTGAGAGCTGACTGAATTCAAAAGTGAATCATTTACTAAATTAAATACCCTTCAGCTTAAGAATACATACAAGTCAAGTTGAAAATTAAGATTTGATAAATGGAAAAAGAGAAAAATCTCCATGAAACCCATCCTTTTACAATACGTCATGCTTCTTAAATCCATAATTTCCTATTATGAACTTTATGCTGTTATGTTTTCTATATATTGCTATTCAAATCTGAGAAAATAGATGGACACAGGAAGAGAATATGCCATATATATATATGAAATTTCATATATATATGAAATTACCATCAGTAAAATCAGTTTATCCTAAAAACAAAATATAAAGACTTACCTGCTGTTTTGCTATCTTTACATGATTTTAACATTAATGAAACAGAACTACAAACGATAGTGACACATTTGCAAAAAGAGAGACAAACTTTATATTTTGCTGTCTTTCCCCCTATCCCGTGGCTATCAGAATTCTCAGTTCTAAAGGACTGGCTGCAATGCAATTAAAGTTTAATTCACAAATGTGTAAAATAGTAAGTGAAAACAACTTCTGTGTAAACATCAAATTGAGTGACATGAAATTTCCTAAAAGATCTGTTCATCTCTCAATGTCAGACACAAATTTGAGTGTTGTTTTAAAAAGTTTTCCTCTTATAAATCAAATGACTGGCATTTTCACAAAACTGATCACTTAAATATCTCAGAAATAATAAAATATAGAAAAATTACTTTGTGTGGAAATTGACTTGCTTTAATCACTCATTTTAAACATGTAAAATTTTAGCATTATTCATACTCAGTAACAAAGTTTTACTTTATAATTCTTTTTTTTTACTGTATAATTCTTTAAGGTTCCCCCTCCTAGTCCTTTGCCCTTTTACCTTGCAAACTAGTGCAATGTCTGTTAAACTGCCACTTCCCTACTCTGCAATTCCTTATTTTATAGTTCCTTCTTGCCACCATCACTGACATTTTCTCAAACTTATAGTAGTCTGTGGGGAAAATCATAATATAATAACCTTCAATTACTCTCTTACTGAGACTGGGAAAAAATCACTGTCAAGTGTATCTGCCACATAAATATCTCAATGCTTAAAACAGCAAAACTAACCTCAAGAGCTGCTTACTATTCTCTCATTAAAAGGTGGACTCTACGCAAGTCAAAATCTACCCTAAAAAATATTCTGGGCCTTTTTAAAACACAAAAAGTGAATTATTACACAATGTAAAAATAATAGAAATGCGTAAAACCACTAATACTAATACTATATGGATTAGTTTTATAAAATAGCATGATGTAATAAAATCTTCAAAGACCACTGCTTTCATAGGCAACAAAAAGATTTACAATTTTATAATTTTCATTTTTAATTTTAAAAAATATAACATAAAATAGGAAATTCATGTGTAAAGTACATAAAGATTATAGCTATATCCAACTCAACAGTTCTCATCTTCACTATCTTTTACAGGTTATGGTTTTGAGTGTTTTTAATTTAATTAACCCCACAGAGGCCAGGTTTATGGTTTTTAAGTGACATACTCTGCAAATACCTTTATATGCTTTTGTAAAAGTTCTTATTTTTGCAATATCATGGCTCTTCAGACACCTGAGGACACCAATAAACAGATCCTCACTGGCATAAATGTGATGAGGATTTTCTAAAATGTACCATTGCCTCTACCATATTGTTGGTCTAAAATAATCTATTGAAAAACTATGATGCAATCTCTTCTACGGCTATGGTTTGATCAAGTAGTCGCGTATGAAACATGCAATGTTCAATAATTTACTGCTCAAAAATGTGTGAGACTAAAATTTTAAAAAGTGTTTTGAATGATCACTTTTATTATCATAGAATTCAAGGGTTGTGAGGGACAGCAGGAGTTCTGGGCAGCTCAGGCAGGCATGATGCCACCTTTGTCATAAACTTCTACTCCCATCCCTTTCTTTTAAAGATCCAGTGATAGAGTTTAAGGAGGTGAGCTGAGAAAAGAAAGCAGTGAGTAAGCCTCCCTAAAAGTTGCCTGTTACCAGGGACAGGAACTCTCCACAAAAGAGAGGACAAAGGAAAAGAGAAAGGAGTTGAATAAGAGGTGAGTATAAAGAAGGAGATAATTACCAACAAATGCTACAGCAAAAAAGTATGAGCCAGTTAGAGTTAAGGTATACTTTCATAAAACTCCAACAGGTTTCTAAGTCATCTGTATTAAACCTTTGTTTACTAAGCACTGAAAATTATGTTGAGTGTAAATAAATCTTTGATTTATGGCTGGAGGATATTGTAACTTTCTGCAGTCAACATGTATTACAGTTGTATGGCATTATGGGGTATGGATGTGAAAAACTACAGGAAACTCAGGTAAATTTGTTTTAAACTTAAGTTACAAACTCAGAGTCACGGGGGAATGGGGATTTTATTTGTTCTTATTAAATACTAGATATCCGCTTACTTTTGAAGATTTCACTTTTTCTTTTAAGAGTAAAGTATAGCAAAGCAGTCTGATTAATTGGGGTTCTTGGTAAAGTTTTTGTTCATTCTAACTGGCTGTGAAGTGCAACTTCTACAGGAATGTAAAACTGAAATTTCCAAAGACACAAGAACTTTAAATGTCTCCATCCAGTCCTGAAAACTAAGTACGTCATTATTGTTGCTGGACCAAGTTACCATACTCTCTCAAGAGTCACATGTTCAACAACAATAATGCAATTAGTTGTGTGATTACTAAGACTCTATTTCCTCAAAGTTCAAAAAAAATCTATTTTATTTCTTTTGCACAAATATCTCACTCAAAATTAACATCTCACTCAATATTAAATCCTTTTCACAATGAAGGATTTTGAAATAAATATGAGAAATTGTGTTTTGAAAGTAATCAGAACCGAAAGTTAAAAAAGTAGAGAAATCTCATTTAACAAAAGGTCTAGCTTTTAACTTCTGAGTAGAATTTTACAACGTTTACATTTTATTCCTATAAACCCATTTTAGATAGCAACTATTTGGGAAATACTTAAATAAATGTTTACCAGTTGCTTTTTGGCGAACGATATTTCTTGCTTTCTCAACTCCTGGTGCCCCAGATGTGGTGGCACTCCTAAATCTCATTGGCTCAGTCACATCTGGGTGGCTCCGCCAGCTGAGAGAAAAGGATCTCCCCACAGTGGTTCCTTTCTGAGAATCTAGAACGCAGCCTGATAAAGGATAAGACAAGAAAAATAATCTAAAGGCTGAATTCATTATTATTCATTTCATAGCCTACGTTGCTCAGCAAATTTCAGACCTACAATTATATATAATTAGAGGCCTGGTGCATACTAGAGACCAGTGCATGGATTCGTGCACCGGTGGGGTCCCCCAGCCTTGCCTGTGCCCTCTCGCAATCCGAGACCCCTCAGGGGATGTTGGAGAGCTGGTTTCAACCCAATCCCCACAGGCCAGGCCAAGGGACCCCACCGGTGCACGAATCCATGCACTGGTCTCTAGTATGCATATAAGATCTTTGATTAATCTCTTCCCTCTTCCCCTCTCCCCCCTTCCCTCTGAGATTCATCAGTCTGTTTCATGTTTCCATGCCTATTTCTGCTCCTGCGTTGAGCGTCTGCTCCCTGGTGGTTAGTGCATGTCATAGCTATGGGCCGGTGGGCTGGTGGCTTAGGCTTTTATATATATAGAAGATCAGCAGTTTCTCTTGTTGCAAATTAGGTACCACTTCCTGTTACTATAATTTAGAAAGTTATTCAGGTATCAGTTAATCTAAATATTGCTAGTGCCAAAGTATTTTTCAAGAATCTCCAACAGTCTGATGAAAATTAACATATCTTCATAGTACTCTTTTCAATTTATAAAAAATATTAATAAACCTTTCTCAATATAAGAATAATGCTAAATGAAGTTATATCACTGCTCCAAAAGCTATTTTCATAAACCAGAAAATCAGAGATCCTAATTTTAGAATACTCCATCCTGTAGGCACCAACCTCTCCACATCCCCAAGAGAAAGTTATGCCTATCTTCTCTAATTACAGACAACCAAATGAGGAAGGAAAATGAAAATCTACAAATACAAAATCTTATTTTAGTGAAGCTCCAAAACAATAAACAATAAACTATTACAGCTCTGTGATTCAAGTTCTCTTCTTTCCTCTCATATTGCTCTGGTCAACTATTTCAAATGAGTGGTCAAGAATCCAAAAGAAATGCAGGAGAAAAGAGAATGAGACACTGAGGTTTTGGCACAGGTATAATGTGGCTGGTGGCTGCCACCTGTGGCTTCTTTTCACACACAGGTTACTCTGAGAGTGTATTTTATTTCCATAAGTCCAGTGCTTCCAAGGCTGGTATTTCTATAATGAATGTTTAAATCTGTTTTTAGAATAAAGCAATATAATAAATAAATCAGAAAAATGCTCCATGGTCATTAATTAAAGAAAATTTCTGCTGTATCATCCCTAAAATAGTGTTTTTGAAGTTGTTTATCTTCCTAAGACAAGCCCATCTTTTCCCATGACTCTCTTTCTTCACACAGTGGGGGGAAAAAGAGTATTTTGGGTGCTGAGGAGGAGGGTAGATGACAAGCATTTCAGGAGGCAAGGAATGTGCTGAGTTTGAGAAATTCCTTACCTCCTGTCTCAGCAACTCCCTCCATCCTGAAAGGCACCTCTGGTCAGGCAGACTCTCTTCTGGGCTAAGAACCAAAGTTTTAGAGGCCAAGCTCCTGCTAGAAGCATCCTGGTCCACACAGAGGCCCTCAGAGCCGCCACCGAGCACAAGACAGAGGCCAAGGGCACAACTTCTTGGCCCCCTGACCCCACCTCAATCCCAATTCTCCAGTCTAATGTATTTTTTAGGAAGGGCTCCATATAGTTTCAAATGGGGAGAAAAAGGGATCTGCTGCTAAAATGTTAAAAAATCATTAGACAATCTAAATCTAAACTAAACTAAAACTGTCCCACTGGAATACCAGATGCTTAAACTGGTTTTTGCTTGTTACTAACTTGCTTTTAGTAATTGATGCTTTGGCAAGCCACTCACAGACTGCAATGAAGACATTGTAAGAATCAGCCATGTTAATTACTCCCTATGGTTAATCAATCATTGTAATTCATTCACACCTCCAGTATGCACATTCTCTTTTGTCCTCTCCCACATTGACTATGGGGTTCATCCTGTGACTGACTTTGGTAGCAAAACTGAGCAAGCAGATATTTTAAATGCACCTATTGCTCAGGTATCCCTCTTGCCCCAGGTGACAGCTAGCCAACCCCTAGAAGTAGAGCTGCTTAGCTGACGATTTCACAGTCTAGCTCAGCAATTTTCAGTGTGCTGCAAGAATTTTTAAAACATGCAATACCTGACTATTTAGTCAGGGGACTTACCTCTTTTCTCTTAGATTGTCAAATAAAAAAAATGACAACAGCCAACATAACAATAGCTGTTAGGTGTGAATGCCATGTCTTGAACCATAAATATATAGGTCATATAGTAGAGTTGCACTTTACTAGTATTGCTCACGTTGCATAATAAGGTTGCATCTGACTGGTTAATTCTTAGTACTAGAAATCCTTATACACAAGTATAAGCACCTGATTTTTTAAGAAGTCACTTTGGAGCAAAAGGGTAGTTAATAACTACTATTATTATTTTGTAAAGCCATCAAAATTATACCTATTTTTGCCAGATTGGCAAAAAATAGAACATATTTTCTGGTGTGCCACAGAATTTCAGTAATTAGCTTATGTGTACCAGAGATGAAAAAGGTTGAAAATTGCTGGTCTAGCTGACTGCAAACACAGGAGTGACTCCAACAGAACTGTCCAACTAAATTTAAAACTGCCAACATATAAAATCATAATCTAAATAAACAGCTCTTATTTTAAGGCACTATGTTTTGGGGTGTTTTGTCACACAGCAAAATCTAACTAACACAGTCCATATTAAAGCTATTGCTGACATTGCAGTGCACCATGAAAAGCAATGTCCCATTTATGAGTCTTTGCAGGAGAAAGTCCTCCCAGGAAAAGCTACATATCACCTAAGCAAGTGGATTGTTTCACCTTTTGCACTCTGTGATTCTCTGGTGTAACCCTGTGAAGGTCGGGGTCAAATCTGAGGTTGCCCTCTTCCCACCTCCCTAGCAAGCATATAAGGCTCTCTGGCATGCATTTTGGTATTTGAACCATGCCTGTAGTTCCATACCCGTTCATTTTGCCCCAATGCCCTTACATATTTTATCTTTTACATTGCATGTATTTGTAAGAGATGCCTCAAAATCTTTACATAATAAGTTGGAGTGCAAGTGAATTAATCGAAGGACTAAAGACAGGGACTGCCAAACTGTCATACTTAAAGAAACCACCACTGATGTTTTTCACCTTGATCTGATTCTAGGTTATCAAGCCAGTTTTTAATCCAAAACACATCAAAGCCAAAATGACTCCCATCTGGTGTGGCATTTTGAGTTGGACTGGCTTGGCTTTGATTTCTGGCTTTACCACTTCTTAGCTATGTGACTTGAATGAGTCAATCACTGGACCAGCTGTGGGCAAACGACGGCCCGCGGGCCGGATCCAGCCCGTTTGAAATGAATAAAACTAAAAAAAAAAAAAAAAGACCGTACCCTTGTATGTAATGAAGTTTACTTTGAATTTATATTAGTTCACACAAACACTCCATCCATGCTTTTGTTCCATCCCTCCGGTCCAGTTTAAGAACCCACTGCAGCCCTCGAGTCAAAAAGTTTGCCCACCCCTGCACTGGACTCTGGTCTTCAGTTTCTTTGTCCATGATGTGGAGATAGTAGTATCTGCTTCATAGAGGATTATGAGGGTGAAGAGAGGGAATATGTACAAAGCACTAGCCATCATTCCTGTGTTTACTGCCACTCCCCTTTGTCTGCCTTCTCCTTTCCACAGCCTCTTCATAAAGGCACCATCCTCATTAAGGGGACAGAATGCTATGAGACACAATCTACTGCCACCATTAGAGATAATGTCTATGTGGCTGGTTCAGTTTATTATGAACTTTCATGCATTAATTGCCTAGATGTATAAAGACACACTCCTTCCCTGATGTCTCAGACATACGGTGTTACCCTGTAAGACTGGAAATACCTTTGCCTCGTTGTTTCTTTTCCTTTTGTTCACTTAATTTGTCCAGAGGTAGGTTTGTCATCTCCACTCCATAAACAGTTCTTGCAAGCACTGCTGTCAAGGAGTCCATGATGTTGGCCCACTCATTTATGAGCTCCTCCCACTGTGTGAGGGAGGACAGCACACCAAGAAATTCGTCCCAGAGCTCTCGAGAAATGTACACACAGAGGTTTGCTCGGATCCAGGCCACAATGAGTGTCTAAAACCAACCAACCAACGAGAGAATTTATTATCTTCATTTGGAAAAGGTACAATTTTTAACAAAATATCTTAAATAACTATTAACAAAATGAATTTTAAAATAAAAATGGCTTTTGGATTTTGTATTTCTTTTAATTTCTCAAAATTCATTTGACCAACTGTAATCAGGATTTGAGCTACTGGGAAGTTAGTTACCATTATGAACAAAACTACTGATTCAAAATCATTCCAGTGATGCAGGATAGTGGCTGGTCCTGCGTCACTGGAGAGAAGACAAAGTTCTCTGTACAACAGCTAATCTATTTCCTGAGTCAGCTCTTTCCATCATTCTCTACAGTGGCCACTTCAAATCTACTCTCCCATATGTAAACCTCCAAGCTCACCAACTCTTTCCTGATTTTTAGCAGATGAACTCACGGTGAACTTCAGAGAAGACAGAACCCATTAAACAAGATGCCCTAAACCTGTGCCCACACGACCCATGCCTCTCCTTCACCTGCCGGCTCTAAGCGAACAGGGGCTCCTGCTCTTCTGTACTTGTCTCCACCTTTGCTCTGCACCTCTTCCTCAGAGTCTTTGTGCTTGTACTAACCCTGTCTCTCCTTTATCTCCAATCCACCCTACTTCCCCAGTTCTTCCGTCAGCATAAAATACTCCAACTCTTCATTGAAGGAAAAAAAAGTTCCCTTGAACAAAGATTTCCTCTCTAGCTACAGCCCCATTTGTCGCCCTTTCAAAGACAAATTTCTTGAAAGAATGTTCCACACTCCCTCCATCTGCACATGCTCATCTCCCAGTCACCTGACTGCTCTGGCTTTCTCCCTCCTATGCCACTCCACCTTTCCCTGGGTTTTGGTCTCCATTCTCATGGCTCTCGTTATCATCTGTGTACTGTTGACTTCTGAATCTCCATGTTCGGCCCAGGCCTCTTTGCTAGTTTCCTGACCTACCTATCTGCTTACTGGATAGTTCTACCTGCATGTTCAGCAGGCACCTGTAATACAGCATGAGAATAAAAAGAATTAAATTTCTTCCACTGAGATCATCCCAGTTCCTCGACCTGGTATCTCCTGTTCCTGGCCTTTACACATACTTTCCCTTCCCTCTCTTCCTCCAGTTTGCCTCTTTAACTCCCATTCATTCTTCAGGTCACAGCTTGGACATCACTTCCTCCAAAGTGTCCCACCCCCGGCCATCAACGGACTTCAGTTTCCAGAGTTCTCTGCATTTCCCCCATCAGCTTGTTGCCCTTTTCCTTAGGAATCCCTCCTCTAGTCTGACACAGCATTACAACTAGTCATATATGCAGCCCTACAAGATATTATGCATATACTAGAGGCCCAGAGCATGAAATTCGGCATGGGGGGTGGGGGGGTGGGGGGTGCTCCTCAGCCCAACCTGCACCCTCTCCAATCTGGGACCCCTCAGGGGATGTCCAACTGCCAGCCGTCAGACATCCCTCTAGCAATCCAGGACCGCTGGCTCCTAACCGCTTGTCTGTCTGCAAGCCTGATTGTTCCTATCCGCTTCTGCCTGCCAGTGTGACCGCCCCCCAACTACTCCCCTGCCAGCCTGTTCCCCTGCCGGCCCGACTGCCCCAAACTGCCCTCCCCTGCCGGCCTGGTCATCCCCAACTGCCCTCCCCTGCTAGCCCAGTCGCCCCTAACTGTCCTCCCCTGCCAGCCTGGTCCTCTCTAACTGCCCTCCCCTGCAGGCCTGGTCACTCCCAACTGCCCTCCCCTGCAGGCCTGGTTGCTCCCAACTGCCCTCCCCTGCCAACCTGGTCGCACCTAACTCCCCTACCCTGCAGGCCTGGTCCCCACCAACTGCCCTCCCCTGCAGACCTGGTCACTCCCAACTGCCCTCCCCTGCTGGCCTGGTCGCTCCCAAATGCCCTCCCCTGCTGGCCTGATCACCCACAACTGCCCTCCCCTGCCGGCCATCTTGTAGCCACATGGGGGTGGCCATCTTGTGCAAGGGTGTGGCAATCAATTTGCATATTACCTCTTTATTATATAATATTCTGGATATTTCCTTGAAATCGCCCAGTTCCTAACCTCTGCCAAAATATTCCACATCCTTTAAAATTCAAATCAAAATGTATTTCTTTTGAAAGTGCCACATTCATCTCAGATAAGCCCCAGATGCTTTCCTAATTTTAGCAGAGGAAACCTTATGCCTAGTCTGTGTAACTTCCCTGACCTGTTAAATGTACTAAATGTACTTGTTAAGGTGCCAACCTGAAAATATTTATGCCCAATCCAGACACAAATAGGCTCCCACTGTCACCTGGAGTTATGCTGTGCATGGAATAAGGGTAAATTTGCTTTTTAATTAAAGGAGGAATTCTTCTTTAACATGCACATAGGATATTTTGAGAAATAGAAAACTGTCTATAATCAGGCAGGACTGACCTGACCACTTGAAAATCATATTTAAAGTGACCCTTTATGCAATGTACCTGTTTCCCATGTTTCAGTTCATGTTTACTACACTTTTAAAGGGGTAAAAGTGTTAAAGTTGAACTAAATTAAGTATATTGAAAACAAGGTTTTAAACTCACTTAAAATCTGATTTTAAGAAGAATAATTTTTTATTTTTTTTTAAGTTAAGAACAATACAAAAGCCCTGGCCAGGTGGCTCAGTTAGTTGGAGCATTGTCCTATACACCAAAAAGGATTGCAGGTCCAATCCCCGATGATGGCAGTTATGGGAGGCAACTAATCGATGTTTCTCTCTAACATCAATGTTTCTCTCTCTCCCTCTCTCTCTCTCTCTCTTTCACTCTCTCTCTAAAATCAATATTTAAAAAAAACACATCCTAAAAAATAAAATAAAATAAAAAAACACATCCTTGGGTAAGAATAAAAACAAGAACAATGCAAAATAAAAAATTAAAATAATTTTATTATATATTTTTATTATGACTAAAATGTTAGCTTCTGTTCATTCATTTTTACACTTCTATTTTAAAAAGAAGTTTGAGGACATTACCAAAATGCATATATATATATATATATATATATAAATTTCATAAATAGTAGATCCAAAATATAATGTTAAGTAGAGTAAGAGGAGAAAGTAGACTGGCAATGTTACCAGGACTCAGCCTCTCATTGGATTGCAGCACTAGCTGAAGATTTAAAAGCAGATGTTTTAGTGTTTTAGTGGTAAGATGCCCTGTATAGAGAATCTAGCATTGGCTTCACTTAATTGACTAATTATAAAAACAAAACAAAACAAAACAAAAAACAGAACAATGACTTCCTATCTACACTAATAAAAGACAAAGATGCTAATTGACCGTACCTTCACTCATCAGCCAATCAGAAGAGTATGCAAATTATCGCAACAAAGATGGCCATTAAATTTGCATACTGCAGGCAGATCCCACTGTGCCGCCCTGCATGGGCAGCAGCGTGATCCCCAGCCGCTGCCCGCCCCAGTGCAGGATCTGGGCCTGCCATGTGCAGGGCGGGCGGGGTGGGCACCGCAGGATCGGGCATGCCATCTGCCACCAGGGGAGCAGGCCTAAGCCAGCAAGTGGTTATCTCCCAAGGGGTCCCAGACTGTGAGAGGGCACAGGTTGGGCTGAGAGACACCCCCCTGCCCCCCCGCCGCCAGTGCACAAATTTTTGTGCACTGGGCTTCTAGTCTCTATCTATAAAACCCTAAGCAACTATTATGACCAGTCAACCGAATGACCAGTCGACATGACATGCACTGACCACCAGGGGGCAGACACTCAATGCAGGAGCTGCCCCCGTGGTCAGTGTGCTCCCACAGCCAACCTCCCGCCGTCCCTCCCCCTGGCCCACTGGCCCTGAAGGGGCCTAGGCAAGACGGCCCAATCAGCCCTGATTGCTGATCAGCCCTGATCGCTGACCAGGCCAAGGGACCCCACCTGTGCACGAATTTATGCATCAGTCCTCTAGTAACTTATAAAATTCATCTCAGCAAATCTTGCAAATGTGTACACAGACCTGTTGAATCATTATCATAATTCACAACTAACAACACTGCCACACAGAGTAAAATCATAAAATATGATTTTATGATTTGGGTGGGTGTCGAGTAGCACCTTTGGACATGAAGGTAGGGTACCCTTGGAATAGGTTAGCCTTTTCGATCAGGAAAAGGGAAAGAGAGCCCCAGTCTCTAGGTTCTGTCCCTATCTTGGTTTGTGACCTGGGCAATTTATTTGGTTTTTCTAGAGTCATATTTCTTGTTAAAAATAAAAAGCATCTGCAAGATTCCTTTAGCACTGAAATTCATATTTCATCAAATATACCTTGGCTTATAAACTGTATAAAAAACACCTTCTCTCGTAAATCACTCTTTTTCTTACACACATTTCCTAACCAACCACTTTCCACGTTTCTCCCACACTTAGACGACACAATTGTAAAGTAATGGCTCACACTATAAATAGAAGAACCATAGTCCAAATTTCCCGATATATTTTAAGAGCTTCAAGCACAAGGTCAGAGTTAGCACTGACAACAGGTTAAAACATCATTTATGACAATCACCATTATTTAGAAAATATGTAAAACTGAACTATCATTTGAAGAAAATTGACCAATGCAATTATCTCTGGATGGCGGGGGGGGGGGGGAGCGGGGAGGGTAAGAAACACTAAAAGAAGATTAGAAAATGGCAACTTAAGATTTCCTGTCCCTTTTAATAATCTTATTCAAATTTTTAAAAAATTAAGTATCTGGCAACTGTAGACAGACTACATGGCCAAGTGAATAATAATTAGATGGCATATTTTAATTTTACTATGGGTCTAAGATGATGCCCACTTGATTGCCTGGCAGCTCTGTCCAGACTTTTCACATTTTCTCCCACCTTGGATCTCACAAAAGCACCTGGGAAATCAGTAAATAATCACACATCAGAAATAAATTCGCTCTCATTCTTATGATAACCTGGCAAGATAGGAAGGAATCCTTTTCTGATTGTGACAGATTAGGGAAGAGAACTCAGAAAGGTGAAGTGATTTGCTCAAGGCCACACAGCCAGAAATGCCAGAGCTGGGATGAGAACCCAGAATATAACTCCCCAAAGCACATCTTCTCACTACTATTTTATGTTTAGTTCGTAATTTAAGAATTCTTCTTGATCCACCTAACTGTTGCCAAAATAATAACAACAACAAAATCATTAATAATTGTGGACTCAAAACTAATCCTCAAGTAAGACCTGACAAGATTTCTCCATTAATGAGGGGGATTTTCTCCCCCCAAACCAAAACCAACCAACCAAATAATAAACACAGTTCCACAATAGTCTTGCTTAATTCAGTGACAAGTTCACACTCAGTTCCAATGCACACATGCACAGACAGGCAACTGGTGATGAATGAGTCTGAGCACCCGCCAGCCTGCGCTTGGCTTCAGTCCATGCCACTTGGCAGCCCCAGTCCCATCAGGACTGAGAGATCAAGAAGGTGCTGACAGACAGGCAGGCGCTCCAGGAAAGTCAGAGCAAAGTGAACAGAGTGTCTGTATTTCCAGGAGGGCATCAAAGCAAGTGGTTAGTACACCCTTGAGGCAAGGGCACAGTAAAGTGTAACACTCACAGCAGGATGTGTAGACCACTTCATGTATCCAATAACGAGGCAAGGCAATCAGAGTACAAGTGATTATACTACTCAGGAGGCAAGTGACTAGAACCTGCCAATTATTTCTGTAGCCCCCTCATACATTTTTCATCAAGTCAAGGTCATTCAATCATTTAAATTATTAAAAATTAATATGAACAGTTGGGTTTTCTTATGTTACAATGGGAATAATTTGTTTTGTATGAAGGACTAATTTCTCTTTTTATCATCTTCACTTATATACCTTACCTGAATTCTAGATGTGCTCTTAATATATATTCTCCAAAATCACCTTCACATCAACTGAGGAGATAAGTTAACTTCCCCTGTAACTGCCCCTTCCAGCTGATAATCCACATGCTTTCCCATATTAAAGTACTCAGTCAGGCCCATCCACTGTGCTAATGCCTTTGTGTAGAATGTCACATTATTCCCCTGTCACGCTGTTTCTTTCAGAAATGCTTCATAAATTCTATGCATCCCATAAATAGTAGTGCTTCCTAGTAGGCTACAATAGGCTAGCGCCCTCAGGACCTTTAAAACTTCCATTTTCCAGGCAGTTGTTTATCATCTGCCTTCTCATCTCTCTCCCTTGGGGTGATATTAAATGTTCTTGACTCTTCTTATCATGTGAAATGCAAAAAACAGACATCTCCTTGGCTCTCTGCTCCCACCTAAGGCCAAACCAGCTTTCCTCACCTTATCCAGGACTTCACTTCTACAGTGCCCCACCCTCTTCCCCAGTCTATCTTGTTCTCACTGGACCATCCCCACTCACAAGCAAACATACTTTAATACCAATGACCTTAAACCCTGCCTTCTAATCATGCTGCCCATTCCAGCTAGCTCTCATTTCCTCCTCCCTTCCACATCAGTACTTCTGCAAAGCCTTGACTATACTTGCTACTCCACTGCCCAGTTCTCAATTTCTCCTCCACCCACACCAGGAGGGCCTCATTCTCCTGGAGCATTCTCAACCACCTACACATCATCAAAATCAGTGGTCAGCTGTCCATTCTCCTCTTACCCAATACTCTTCCTCCAGGCATCCAGACAGGGGCTCCTCTAGTGTTTCTCCTAGCTCCCTAACCACTCTCTCTCAGCAGCTTTGGCTGGCTGCTCTCCGTCACCAATCACGGAGCTGGCCCTCTTTCTTCCTTCTATGATATAAATTTTCTCCCTAGTTGATCCCATCCGGTCCTGTGGCTCCAAACACATGGTCCAACACACCAATGGCTCTCACATTTTTATTTCTAGCCTGAACTGCTCCCTGACCTTATTCCCATTCCCATTCTTCTGTTCATCCTTTAACTCTTCAAATCTACCCAGCCCTACACCAGAGCCAACAGCTCTTGGTATTTTCCTAATTTCTACCAAACTCAAGCAAATAAAAAAAAAGAAAGTAAATGGTGAAGAGGTAGGAAGGTCTAAACTTAATTGGAAAGAATAGATTACAACCTTCATGATAAAACTAAGGAAAATTTCTAATTAAATTTCTGAAAATTTAAAGTTAGTTTAATTTTACTCTTAAAATTCTCGGTGATTAAAACTACTTTGCTCTAAAATCGGATTCAATTCGTGCATTTGAAGTGTTTTAATAAAAAAGACTTACCCTAAACAGTAACCCTGCCAAGCTCTGGGCAAACAAGTCTTTTATTTGCTTTTCCTTTGGCTTCTGCATGACAGCTTCTGTTATCCTGAGCAGTATTTGCAACATCTGTTCCCTGGGCCACCCAAAATAAAAGTTCGTGTTAATCACATCTCCAAAGCATTTTAATTTATAGGTACGAGAAATTCTCTCAAGAATTCAGCAATAATGATAAATATGTATTACTCAAAAGTATTAAAAATTGGAATGAATACCATTTTCTGTAAAAATAAGCTACCTTATGTTTTAGCAGTTCTAACGATATGCCTCCTTTGCCCACATTAATAGGCAGGATAAAACAGGTACCATCCTGGCCTCATTTTCTCCCCTTACAAGAAGGGAGACAAGATTGTTTCTCTGACTGAGGCGGGCGCTCGGTGAGTATCTGTTCCTATTGGAACTTATGCAGCACCCTTTAATTTTCACATCCATTATTTTATTTAACCAGTAAGGTCTTCCTACCTCTCATTGTGATAGGAAATAAACCTGACTTTCTGGTCTTCATTCTTGGGGGATAAGCAATCAGCTGCATCGAGTAACTGAACTCCACACTACTCTTAAGGTAGGACGGTTTGGAAAGGTCACCGATGGCCACTTTGAGGAGCTTTGTGCCTGGAAGATCCTGTCTGTAGCCCAGGGCACAACTGAGGCAGTGGCAATCGTCACAACTCATCACAGTGTACCTTGCAGAAAGGGGTTTCTATGTAAAAGGTCTTTGAAGAGTATGAAGCAATAGAGAGACAGACTAGCACTGCTAATTATAACAGTGATAAGGCCAAAGGCCATATTTCCTTCTTACTGGTACAGCTGTTAACATTCTTCCCATCAGAGCGCCTGCTCACCTTTTATTCCGAATTCCCTGGAATCTGAGAACACATTACCTTCTGTGTGTAAGGGCTGTCTATTTGTTCTCTGAGGGAAACCACCTCAATTCCTTTTAAGTTCTCCTTTGAGATCCTACACACTACCCATTTGTTTATCTTGCTCTTTAGGGATAAATCAAGAGCTGAACAACACCATGTAGTATAGATCAGACAATGCAATCTCTAAACCATAGTGCCTTTATACTGTTCTCATATTTCTTGCATATTGGGACAGTATTTTCTCTTAACATGACACTTAATCTCATTAAACTTCTCAGGCTACAGCCCCAGTGTAAACAGCCGCCATCATCTATGGCCACAGTCTTTGTGTTGCATCCACTGCACTGCCTCTTCTCACATGGCGGTCAGAGGGATCTTTTGGAAGCATAAATCAGACTTGTGTCACACTGTTGCTCACACACAGAGAGGAAGCCACTGGCCTTCCTGTGGTCTGCAAGGCCCCGAGCAACCTGGCTGCGGCTGGCCCCTGCCTCGCCCCCTCCCACTCTCCCGTTCCCTCTGCCCACTCCACCACATTGGCTGTCATCTCCTCCTGCCTGGAACAGACTGTGCTTGTCACTTGGGGTTCCTTCGACCAGCAATGCTCTTCCCTCGGACCTCCCCGAGGCTCCTCTCCATCTTCAGGGCTCTGCTCGGGAAGGCCCTCCCTGACATCTGATGACAAACCTCCCCTGCCCTGCACAGCTTCCTTGTTCTTTTTAGCACTTTTTACCACTGAAATGGCTTCTGTGTTCATATCTCTCAGTCTGTGAGGGTGGAAACCTCCCAAGGGCAGGTAATTATCTGTCTAGTTTACCCAATACCCCTAAGCAGAAGCTAGCTGTTCCTTATGGGATAGAGGAAGAGATGGGAGGGGGAAGAGGAAGAGAAGGAAAGGAATTTAGGAATTGTCTGGTTCTAAAATACGTAAGAAAATCTGCTAAGAAAAAGGGCACATCCCTTTCTATACTCTACTATTTTTTGGTATTCTTATCTATTTCTATAATTTGTTTTTTTATACTTTTATCTGGGTTTCTCTGAATTATTATAATTGCTTAATTTGATTTCCTAAAATTTTCATTTAAAAAATTATCAAAAATAAAAAAATACTACTGTACAATAATGTACTGAATTCACAGAATTTTCAAAGAAAAATACATAAAAAATACTATTGCTATAACTGTGGTATCAAGGAGTGGATATTGGAGTTAAAAGCATACCAGTATTTCTCATAACTTTCAATATTGCTGACACAGCAACTTTTTTTAAATCATATTATTCATCACTCTAAAATTTACAGTTTTAACAACTGCTTCTTGGCAAACAGTGTTAAGTTTAAAAGTCTGGGAAAATGACAGTGCAATTTACATCTTAAGATAATCATTTTGATACTTGCAGTTTCTGTATTAGTGAACTTTCTGCGGAACAGAATTCCTCCAGGCCCACCCTTCCCTCCTCTGAGAAAGAAAAGAGCTGGACTCAATGGCCATAGGGCCCCTGCCAGCTCAGTCCTGCCTCATTTCTATGGCTTCTCAACCTGCAGACAGATCCTTCCAAAGGACCATTTGTGCTGACTTGAGGATGTCCGGAAAAGGCATCCAGCAAACAGGCCTGGTAACACAGACCCCCAAGATTTCCAGGAAGGAAGTGTGCTACTAGTGCGGTCTGCAATGGCCTCGGTGGACTGAGACCACAGCCAGGTGAGCAGTAAGGGCAGGCTGTCTGCTTCAGGATGGAGGCTGGGGGAGAGGAACATGGAAAGGATGGACTGAACCGAGAGACTGTCTTTCTGATGCATTAAGGAAGAGAAGGATTAGGAAGTGGCACTGAGGTGCTCTGGTCTGTGGCCGAGAACCTGTAAGAACACCTCAGAAGCTGAAATGCTATGAAGATATCCATTGTGGGAGAAGAGAATAGGAAAAGACCTAATGCACTGTTAACCTTTAGGGATAGTATAAACAAAAAAAACACCAAACAAAAACAAAGGGTGAAAATGAAAACACTTCACATAAGCATACTGGCTGCACTATTTTTTCAGTCACTCTGACAACTTATCATCCTATATAACAATCCTATATAATAAAAAGCTAATATGCAATTGTCCCCTCGGAAGTTCGACCAACCGGGAGTTCGACCACTCGCTATGACGTGTACTGACCACCAGGGGGAAGCACGAAATGAAGGAAGGCCCTGGCAGGCAGCCAGCAGCTGGGAGGAAGGAAGGCCCCGATCAGCCTTGATCACCAGCCAGGCCTAGGGACCCTACCCGTGCACCAATTTCGTGCACTGGGCCTCTAGTTTAAAATAATTGTTTTCCCAAATGAATTTAAAACTTCAAGTTTGAAGCAATAAAAGTGAGTTAACAGCATTTTGGAGCAATTAACAAACTGCCCTGGGCTTATGAGGAATGATACTATAACACTCCAGTTATACTGCTTTTTCACAAAGCTGTTTGATTCAGTTTAAAACGGAAAAGTCTATCATTAAAGCAATTTGACCACTTACTCTTAATTCAAGAACATTTTTAAAACCAATAATTAAAATAAATGAATTATCACAGTACTGAATACTTACTTTCTTCAAAATTCACAGAAACTGTTACAAAAGACTGATTATCATCTTATTAACTTTGTAAAGCCAATAATAAATGAAGGCTGTAACATTTTATTTATTATGTTGTAAAATGTAATCATCTGTTTTATAATACTAATTAATTTGAAATAAACTTACCATGTCTTTTTATTCATTGAAAGCTCCATTATCATACGCCTAAAAATAATCAAAACAGCTTTACAAGCATCAACTTGTTCTTTCAAGAGTATGGGGACTTCAGCACATGGTTCCAGCAAAAACACATTTGCAGCATTTGTCAAAAACACCTTAAAATAGACAAATATTACTTTAGAAAATATTAAATATATAAATATGAACAAATTTTGCTTAAAGATAATATTACCAATTTTACTTTACCAATGAATCACTTTTGAATTATTTCAATTAAGGCAAAAATACAGTGCCAACATATACTCAGGCCTTTTTTTCATTCCTCTCCTAGAAGGTCTCAAATACTGAGAAACCTGAAAGACCATTCCTAGAAAAAAATTACTATTACACATTACTGTTGTGATTTTAGAAATTTTATGAATCAGAAAAACTTTTGAAAACTTTTTTTTATATCCCCTCCCCCCAAAAAAAGATAAGATAGGATAACATCATTGCCTCTGGGCGAGAAATGTTGGGGAGAGGAAGAGACACTGTGGTCAGAAAGTGACTGGAAAAAACTATCTAGTTATTGTTGAATCTCCCAGAAATAAACAACTTGCTGACAGAAAGCACAGCCAGCACCACACAAGGGTGGGCCTCTAGGAGCGGTGGCATGCCAGGACATAGCCAAAGCCACATGATCGACATTGCACATATTCTAGGAGCATATATTTTTAAGATAAGAACTATATTGTGCAGTAAAATATAAAACCTAAGTGAATCCTATATAATAAAAGCCTAATATGCTAAGTGTCCGGTCTTCCGTTCAACCAATCAAAGCATAACATGCTAATGATATGCTAAGGCTGCTATGATGTGCACTGACCACCAGGGAGCAGATGCTCCGACTGGTAGGTTAGCTTGCTGCTGGGGTCCGGCTGATCGAGATTGGCCAGACATGCTCTGGAGCCCGCTCTCCGTCCCTCCCACGTCCCTCCCCAGCCCTGATTGTGCACCAGTGGAGTCCCTTGGCCTGGTCTGCGCCCTCTCATAATCTGGGACCCTTCGTGGGATGTCAGAAAGTCAGTTTTGGCCCGATCCCGCAGCCGGTTTCAGCCTGATCCCACAGGCCAGGTCAAGGGACCCCACTGGTGCACAAATTCGTGCACTAGGCCTCTAGTTCTTAAGATAAATTTTGAAAATACTCAGCCAACCATTCTATGCTCTACCTCAGAACTTTAGGATACAAGTTTACTGTCCTCTACCATTAGGGGTATTTCAGCAGAAATTAGGAGAAGCACTAACCAAGGTTATCATGCAGTAAGTTTATGCTTAGGGACACTACAATAAAATAACAATGAGCTACAGATGACACTAGCAAAACCTCAATTTAGGAAAGTCTGAGTTGTCAATCCAGTAATAAGGATGGATCTGCTCCATATATCTAGAGCTATATTCCATACTAGGTTTCTTCTGTGTTCAACAGTACAAATTCGAAGGATCTGGGAATAAATGGAACTTCTCTGGCTCACCCATCGATGAAATCCATTAACACAACATCTTAAAACAGATGCAAAAACTGATATGATAAATGAACATACTTCAAACATACTTTAGTTCAAGTGTATGAACTAAAATGTCGACAGTCTCAAAAATTATTTTTTGCAATATTTAAAAGGTATGATGACAACATTTTCTAGGAAGAATTATTAAATGAGCACTATAATAGTTGATAATAGATAACAGTAATGAGAAAGAATTTACTAGCCTTCAAGTAAGAAAAAAGAAACCAAAGAACTTTTTGACTCACAAACTAAAGAACTTCTAGTAACTGTTTTGAAAAGAAGTATGCCCGGCCTAGGTGATATGTTTTAATCCAGATCCTTTTCATTCAATGTATTGGCTTCTTTATTTGAATTTGAAACTTTTGCATATTCCCAAGTGAAAATGCAGAAGTCTTCATATATGGGGCAAAAGCAGGTTTACAGTTGTGAGTACATGAAATGCAAAGTTTATTCTTGTATTATTTATTCATTATTGTTACTATTTTCCATACAAGCAACTGTAAATCTACCCTTGCCCCACCCAGTATTATATTTGTTTCATTTTACTTTTTAAAAAAATATCAAAATGCCAACTACATGAATATTTCTTTATGACCATGTTAGTTTCTGGTAAGGTAAAAATAAAAATTATGCCCATATTGTAACTACCAAAAGCAACTACAGAGGAGTACTATCTTATCAAACCTCCATTTGGCCAAGTTTTTTTCCAATGAACCAAGCAGAGGGCCAGAGTACTGGATACAATGAGAATAAAAACAGCCATTTAAATCCCAACTAAACTTTTTAAGAAATCTACAGTGCTATAAGCCAGTAGAAAATTATTTTCTTGGTTCAGCCAAGTAGATGTAACTTAGCCTTTCAGAAAACAAATAAGACTCTTCTGAACCCAAGGAGATAACTGGCACCTGCAACCCAGCCGACATTGGGATGGCTGACAATGACAATCTCAATCCCTATTTCCAAGATAAAATTTTGAGGACTGGGGAAATTAAGTAATGAGCCAAAGTTGTTTTTTCCAATGTTCCAAATGGTATCAGTTCTATTTCATAAATCCATTCAGATAACTATTAAAATTATTGCATAATTCATCATTCTTCATAAACACAGATAATTTTTAAGAAGAGGAGTATTACTGATGATAATATAATCAACCACACTTATCTTGCAAACTAGAGTCCAGGTAACTAATTACCCATATGTGTCCCAAAGATACTTTTAAGATATAAATCTCAGTCATTTCACATTTACTGTATAGTAAACCCTCTTTAAAATGTGAAACTTGTTCATATGTCTCCTTTGAATAGAAAAAATTATTTACAAATTGAAAGTGAGAGATCAGGAAGAAAACTTAGAATGAGAATTTAATAGCTGTTTATTGGCAGAGACTAAAAATACCAAACTTTATAGGATGCTATCTCAATACACAACTGTTCACATTGACTCCAATTGGGGGCCTTTCTGCCTCTGGCCAGCCGGCAGCGTACCTGCAGCACAGCCTGGGCCCCGGCTTTCACGCTCTTGTTCTCCTCTTCTGCCACACACCCTCTGCTCACCGCACTCGTGAAGGAATATGTTCGTCCCCAACTGGAAGACCGCTTATGACCGGAACTTTCAGGTGCAGTCTTTAAAAAATAATTAGTTAACAGAGGGGGAAGAAGTACATGTTTGAATATTTAATTCTTACATTAAGCAGAATTCACGGGAAATAGATTCTGGGAGGCAAGGTTTGTGTGTGTGTGTGTGTGTGTGTGTGTGTGTGTGTGTGTGTTGCCATTTTGTTCACCACTCTGTCTCCAGCACCTAAAATAATGCCTGTCAGTTATTATGTGTTGAAAAAGAAAACAAACAACCAATGACTAGATGAGCACTTATCCTTTAAATTTAAAATGTGATTAATTCCATTTGCTCATCTATTAATTCTGACCGGAATATTTGAAAAATCAAAATTATCCTATATAATCCTATATAATAAAAGGCTAATATGCAAATTGTCCCCTTGGGAGTTCCACCAACCGGGAGTTCGACTGCTCACTATGACATGCACTGACCACCAGGGGGCGGCTCAGAACGAAGGAAGGTCCCGGCCTGCAGCTGGCAGCTGGGGTAAGGAAGGCCCCGATCGACCCTGATCACCAGCAAGGCCTAGGAACCTTCCCCGTGCACGTATTTCTTGCACCAGGCCTCTAGTATAATTAATACAGATATTTAAAAGTGATATGCCTTTGGTTACAAGTATTTTTAAATATTTGCTGTCAACTGCTATGACAAACATCTACTTTTAGAAATAATTTCTCAGACTAGGTTTCAAATTAGCATGCCAGAAATATAAATAAGACTTAAGTTTCTTTTGTGGTTCAGGAAGAGGTCCCACTCTGTGGTTTTACATTAATCCAGTCTATAGCTTTATCAAACACAGACTAAGAAGTCCATGCTGAGAGCACCCACTTTCTGAGAATGCTGTTTATTTAAACATGTCAATGATAAGGCAGTGACATTTTTACAGAGTTGTGTAAAATATGATAGCTGATTAAACAACTCTTGGGCAATGGTGGATAATGAAGCTGCAATGCACAAGTGGACCTAGTGTGAGGGTTAGGCGATAGATGATTAAGGCAGCCCCACTGAAGCAGGTCCTCAGAGAACTCAGCAACTTGAGAGTATCAGAAATGATAAAAAAAAAAAAAAAAGAGACCCGCCTGCCTGGGATCTCTGACTGAGCCAGGTGTACTTTACTAAACTATATATACTCCCAAATGAAACAAGTGATAAAATATTACCTCCTTGCTGTCAGTCTCAGAAAATCCTAATTTTTCAGCATCTTCTTGGGTAACTTCCTTTTGATCTGGTTCCTCCATGAACAGAGGTTTGTCCTGGAGGATCCACTTTCTGTACACTTGGACTACTTTTCTCGTTACAGCTATGTCATAGGAAGGCAACAAAAATGCCTGAAATGAAAAGAGAAAACTTCCCTTAACGCTATACACGTTCAGATTACTATAGAGCCACACAGAAATTTCCAATCACCATCACCAATTTCAGACTTTCCTTTAAAACATACAGCTGGTAATATGCTACACAGGGTCACATATTTTTGTGCACAACAAATTTATCTAAAGAAAAATAAGCATTTTCATAACTGTGTCAGAAAATATAATGCAATTTAAAAATAACTTCTATATTCTGAATAATTTTTCCACAAAAATAACCAAAATACAGACCTATAGAGATAGTCCAACTGCCTATTAAACAACAGCCAGAAAACAAAACAAAATAAAAACAAACAAAAAACAGCCAGTTGTGGCCAATTGTCACATCTCTTCTCAACTCCATGTTCAGTGACATCCATGTTGGTAGCTTGAATTAGCCAAGGCGAAAGTATTTACACCACAGAAATCTGCAAATGCTACCATCTACTTTTCTTTTTTGTCTTTGCCTTTCCCTTTCCTTGTCTTTCATTCTTTCTTTCCTTTCTCTTTCCCTCCCTCCCTTCCTTTTTTCAGAGCCAGTTGTTCAATATTTACTACACACCACTGAGTAGAAATACCAATGTTAATGAAAGCACTGGCCAGTTTAGCATTATGCATATTTATGTGAACTTTTTAATGTTAAAGAACCCCCTATGTATCATAAGAACTTTGATATAATGTAATAAATTTATACAATGTAAAGGGAAAATACATTTGCCTTTTTAGTAATCAGCTTTAAGAGATAGTTCTGTATGAGGGGTGAACTCAAAGCAGCACTCAACACTCTGATGAATGCTTTAATTCCATAGATGAGAATTAAGATGGGACTCAGACCAACTGAGAGATTTTTCCCAAGGTTATAAAGTTAATTAGCAATGAATCCACATTCTGATCTCAAGTTTCAGAGTTTTGTTTTAACACCATCCTAAAGCTTCATGCTTCAGGATCCAGTTAGAGGCAGAGTTCAATGCGACAAGGGTTTATGCAATTTATATTAATTTCCATAGATGGTGGTCATGTCCCATCAAATGCCAGAATAGGGGAGATTGTGTTATAACAAGACTGCAGCATATCAATGTACCAAATATTGTATCTGTTGCAAGAAAGATCAACAAAGACAAAGAAGAGTATGACAAAAATATACTGATGTCCTATTCTAATTTTGTTCCAAAATGTTATTACAAATATTTCCACACAAACAAAAAGTTAGAAGACTTTTACAATGACTACTCATAAACCCATTCCCTAAATTCTACCATTAGCATTTGCTCTAATTGCTTTATCACACATCTGTCAATCCACTTTTCTCTATCTATCCTTCCAATCGATTTTACTTTTGATGCATTTCAAAGAAGCTGCAGACATCAGTACATTTCAACCCTAAACATTTCAGCATGTATATATCACTGATGAGAGCTCAATTAGGTAAAATTTATAAACAATGAAATGCACAAATGTTAAATGAATCATTTGATGAGTTTTGACAAATGTAGACAACTATGTAACACAAATCCAATACTAAGGTATACCATGTTATCCTGCCCCAGGAAAGCAAATATAAATCCTCTCTGGAGGAAAATCAAATAATAATAAAACCAAAATTTTTTGTATGAATCATCTGGTTAATATGATATGTAGCATATTAAAAAGAAATTAGAAACAAGAGAAAGTCAATATTAACAAAACCACAATAAAAATAGGTAACAGGCCATAACCGGTTAAGCTCAGTGGATGGCGCGTCAGCCTGCGGACTGAAGGATCCCAGGTTCAATTCCGGTCAGGAACATGTACCTTGGTTATGGGCACATCCCCAGTGGGGGGTGTGCAGGAGGCAGCTGATCAATGTTTCTCTCTCATTGATGTTTCTAACTCTCTATTCCTCTCCCTTCCTCTCTGTAAAAAAATCAATGAAATATATATTTTTAAAAAGTTAAAAAAAAATAGGTAACAGTTTAAAATACAGAGTATCTAGATAAAATATCAGAAAAGGATGTAAATAGAATTTAAGGAATAGCTAAAATTAAAAACTCAGAATTAACATAGCTGAAGAGAAAACCAGATTAAAAAAATATATCAGAAAACATCCAGAATGAGACTTGAGAGACAAAAGGAAGGCTAACCCAGAAGAGAAGGTAAGAGAAAGAATACAATGAAAAGCCTAGCATGGCTGGAGATGCAGAGGAGAGATTACTAAAAAGGGGCTGAGATAATATCTGAAGAAAGAATGACTGAAAATTTTGCCAAAATTGATGAGATATAGGCCTTTTCAGGGCAAGTACAGCTGCAGAACGTCCAGCTCCTCAGAGAGCCCTCTGGCCCCTGGAACACCAGACGTGGGTTCTTCCTGGCTGTGCTCATTTGTGCGTGCACATTGCAGGAACGGCTTTCTTTCCACCTACCGCTGGTTTTAAAGTTTGTAATGGGAACATAAGTGTTATGGAATGATTCTGCTCAAATATAAAATTTTCCCTCTACACATAGCAATTCTACCAAAAATTTTTTTAAAAATTAACAAATGAAATAAAACACTCCATATGGAAATTAAAAGTGAGATCAGAGGGCACTGGCTGGTGATCTCAGTGGTTGGTGCACTGTCCTATACACTGAAAGGTGGCGGGGTTCAATTCCCTGTCAGGGCACATACCCAGGTTGGGGTTCAATCTCCAGTCAGGGCGCATGCAGGAGGCAACCGATTGATGCTTCACTCTCTCCATCCTCTCTCTCTAAAATCAATAAAAGCATGTCTTTGGGTGAGGGTTAAAAACAACAACAAGTGGGATCAGAGGGATCATTATTCAGTCCTGTAGCGTAGCCCAATGCATCAATAGTATTTTTGGAGTAATACTAACCTGGCGAAATACTTCATTCACAAAGTTGACATAACCTCGCGTTGACAGGAGGATGCGCTGCACCATTTCATACACGTTCCGGTGCTCTTCTTCAATGCTGCAGAGGCTAGAGCTGCTGAGCCTCCGGTCCGACAAGGTGCTGCTGTTAGAATGGTTCTTGTCTGGCTCTGCAGGCCCGCCACCCTCCAGCTCCGGTGCCCTCTCTTGCACAGCACCAGCACCAACAGTCTGGAAGAAAGCCATTACCACGTCTGAGTCATCCTCGCTGGCACTCAAGAACAACTAGCAAAACTGAAGGCTTGCTTTATTTTAAAGCTCTGGTTACCCTTAACTTGACAACACGCTGGAAACCAGCACGGCTGGAAGCACATGGGGCTACAGGACCTGTACTTACCAACTTTCCAATCCACCAACTAACCCCTCCACCAACTCAGTCATTTTAACAGGAAAATTACTAAATTATTATAGGAAGGGAGGCTGTGAAATTTTATCAACCTAAAAAGTTTAATTTATATTTGTAAAGTCACAGAATTAATTAACATGTGATTGCATTTATATTATTACCACCTTGGTCTCTACACTGTAGCACTTATTGTATAGCTGCAGAGATTTGAAATTTCAGTGGATATTCTAAAGCCACAGTGTTGAGAAGCATCACAGTGGTCTCATAAGCCTAAGTGGCATCTTGCTGGAGGAGTGCCAAGATCTATAAATGGTATAAGAACCTTGATTTGAGTTCTTTATCTCACATCAAACCTGACTGGAATAATTAATGTACATACAGAACTAGTAAAAGAACAGTTGCTGTTGCAATTTTAAAATCACCGCTCTGCTTTTTCTCATACATGTTGAAGTACTTCTATCTTATACAAAAATGAATCACTAAGGAATAAATAATTCTTCACTGAAAACATTTTCAGCTGAAACGATGAACGAAGACTGTTCAGATTTGAAAGGGAGGGGGTTTGCTGCTGTTGTCAACATGTTATGGATGTATGGGATTGATACTGTTGTAATAACCTGGTTATTATTAAACAGAAAAGGAGTAAAGGGAAGATTAGATAATATAGACATGCCACTTATACAGCTTTGCTAAGTCTATTCCCCACTGATGGATGGGGAAGGGACTGAACAAACGCAGTTTGGACAAATGGCCAGTAAGGTCTGAGTGAGGTAGGAAGGTGCTTACCTGTCTGTCAATCATACCTGGAAAAAATTAGTGGCCAGGATGGGTGTGGCCACTGCGAAAACTGAATATTTAAATTGCTGAACCAAGGAAGTTCGCTCTCTCTCACACATGCACCAGGCTGTATTTGCTCTTGACCTCCTGGCCCTCTGGTCCTCTTGGGACTCCTGTTGCAGGGGATGCGCTCCCTGTGCCCACGTGGCCCACAGCCATGTGGGACCCACACAATGAATTAATGGACTTTAATTAGCTCTGATGCTGAACTGGACCCGGCGGCAACATGGAACAGAAGCTCTGGACACTGACCTTGCTTTTTGCTCTACTGGAACCCCAGATGCACCTCTTTAAGGGCTGGTTTAAGGGGCAGGGAACTTTGGAACCCAAGAAATGTAACTGCACACAAATAAAGCCTTTTATCACATCCAATTCTCCCATGCCAATCTTAGAAAATTCATTTTCTAAAGATATTGCAAGAACCTCACCCCCACGAGTGACAGGGAAGTTCTATTCTCCAGTGACAGGATGTACTTCTATTTTACCATGAATGACACCACTGAACAAAAAAATATGTTAAACCAGACTCTCCAAGTGATATATAAGCTAAGTCTAGAAGATGTACTATCCTTTCTTCCCTGGTAAAAAAAAAAACAAAAACAAAACTCTCAATTGTATTACTTCTAAATCAAGAGGAAGTAAATTGCCCTAGTCCGTGGTCGGCAAACTGCGGCTCGTGAGCCACATGCGGCTCTTTGGCCCCTTGAGTGTGGCTCTTCCTAAGCCTTAGGAGTACCCTAATTAAGTTAATAACAATGTACCTACCTACATAGTTTAAGTTTTAAAAATTTGGCTCTCAAAAGAAATTTCAATCGTTGTACTGTTGATATTTGGCTCTGTTGACTAATGAGTTTGCTGACCATTGCCCTAGCTGGTTTGGCTCAGAGGATAGAGCATCGGCCTGTGGACTGAAGGGTCCCGGGTTTGATTCCAGTCAAGGGCACATGCCCAGGTTGTGGGCTCGATCCCCAGTAGGGGGCGTGCAGGAGGCAGCCAATCAATGATTCTCTCTCATCATTGATGTTTCTATCCTCTCTCCCTCTCCCTTTCTCTCTGAAATCAATAAAAAAAAAAATAAGTTAAAAAAAAAATAAAATGAGGAAGTAAATTCACTTTGGAAAAAAATACACACAAAAAACTTGTCATACATGACGTGTACCATAGTAATAGTGGCCTAAATGTGAACTCTATTTGGAAGCAGGACTTAATATAATGTTTTAAAGGAGTGGTTCTCAACCTTGGCTGTGAGGCCCAGAAATCAGGATTTTAAAAAGATTCCCAGGTGATCCTAATGTGCAGCCAAGGTTGAGAACCACTGTTTTAAAGGGCTTTTACAAGAGCAGCATATTTTTTGGACCACTTCACTTGATAGTGATGTTCACTTTACCTGGGTAAAATTACACTAAATTTGAAATTCCAAACAAAAACTTTCAGGAGATAAATGCAATTGTATGTGCTTTTATTCCTGCAACTTCACTTCTAAAAGTTAATATGTAATTGTTTACACTGCTGCTTTTTCTAATGTTCAATATAAACGAAAAGGAGAACAAAGTAGACACATGTGAGATGAGGTGGGAACCAGAGTTGTAAGGCAGAGAAGGGAAAATAGGAGACAACTGGTCAGCTGCATAATGACCCCCAAATGATGTCCATAGCTAATCCCTGAAGCCTCTGAATGTTAGCTTATGTGGCAAAGGGACTTACCAGATGTGGTTAAATTAAGGATGCTGAGATGGGGAGACTATCCTGGACTACTATTGGTCCCAGTGTAATCACAAGGACCCTTAAGGAGGCAGGAGAATGAGAGACAGAGAAGGCAATGTGAAGATGGGGACAGGGGAAAAAAGTGATGTGATGAGCGGTCATGAGTCACAAAATACAGGCAGCATTTAGAAACTGGATAAGGCAAGAACATGGAGTCTGTTCTAGAGCTTACGGAGGAATACAGAGTGGCCAGCACCTTGGTTTTACCCCCTAGGACTGACATTGGACTTCTAACTTCCAGAACAGCCAGATAATACATTTATGCTATTTCAAACCAATATGTTTATGGTAATTTGCTACAGCAGCAATCAGCAACTAATATAACAGCTTGCCGTGAGGTGTATTAACAGTCTCTACAGTGACAGTGGCCACTTCTGTGTGCAGACATCTGCAAGGTACGGTAGCACTGAGCAGACGGTTGTCTGCCCAGCATCTATTCCCACTCCCTGACAGAACCCCAGTGCTTGGCATGTCTGCGCCCATGAAGCCCAGACGATTCACAGGACGCTGACCCTATCCACAGTATCAAGGGAGTGTTGTTTCATCCTGGAAGCCAATCATGTCCCTCCCTCCTCAGTCGTTCACACACACAGCTTTAAGCTGATCAGTGCCTTGTGATGGGCAGGAAACCTAGGAGTGGGCAGGAAACCCACCTAAGTTGTACCACTTAGACAAATGGAAAGGGCTTTGTACTTCTGGTTGTCTCTGAACATGAACAAGGAGCACAGCAGTGCCCCATCATCGGCGAAGCTGGAGACTCACTTGCCAGAGGGAAAAGGGCAGAGTAGAAAAGAGACAACCACAGAGAACTGTAGAGAAAACATGCGTGAACCACACTGTCACCCTCAGTAGAAGCTTCTTTTTCATGAGATTAAAATATTTCTTGTTATGTTTAATTATGCTTGAGTCGTGGTGTCTTTTGTCCGTTAGAACGATAAAACCACTCTGACTGAGGAGCTCAGACCCTTATGACAGGAAAAACACTAGATAATAAAAGTAGATGACTCACAAGTGTGAAGAGTCAACTAAGGGAAAGAACCTGGAAGCAGTGGTTCATTTGCTATTCTTGCTACTTCTCATCACCCAGGTGAGAAACTTACTTTCAATAAACAGAGGTGATAGTTTTTCAAAAATTTGAAACCAAATAGGAAAAAGTTACATCCTTTAAATGGACTGTTTTGAATTGACTAAAAAACCACACAGATGCAATGTAAAATTATCAGAGTGTGACTGAGTTTCTTATGTGTAATTTCATACAAAATTTTTTCTACCCTAATTGGTAAATAAAAGTCTCTTGTCATGGCTCAGAACAAACTACGTTTCCCTGACTGCTGGTGAAATCTGGGCCCATTTTATTTCCTCTTCTATGAACTTCATCTCCTTTGTCCATTTTTCAATTGGGCTGTTTGTCTTATCAATTTGTAGGCAATCTTTATATTGTAGAGATATGAGCTCTATTAATAGCCATGATGTTACAGACACTTTCCTCAGCTTGAGTGTGGCTTTTTGCTCTCTTCTGACACAAAAATATTTTTCTATTTTTTCAAAGTAGAATCTCATTTCCTCTATGGCTTGTGAGCTTTATCTCTCCCTAAGGTGGTCTACTACTTGCCAAATTTATACATTCTCTAGATTTTTCTCCCAAGTTCTTTATCATTGTTTTTATATGTAGGCCTTTAATCAGTCTGACATTTGCTTATGTATGTAATACAAAGCAAGGAAGGTTCTGGGAAAGACAGACAGCCAGGTTCTTTCAGCTTCAGGGCTGTAGGTTACATTAGATATTCAGTGCTAATGTCAGTCTCATTCCTTTGCAGGAACCTCTGGTTTCTGTCAGGAAGCTGTAGAGTTTTTTCTTAATCCATGAAAGTCAAATGCCATTTTAACTGTTTAGCTAATTTTACCTGGGACTCAAAGGCCTTTTTAGTCTAAAGCATGTCTTCTTTTCAGCTCAGGTAAACTTTCCTTTTTATTAGTTCAATTATTACTTCTCATTCTTTTCTCCTCTGCCCTCACACTATTTGCATGGTAGGTCTAGATCTGTCCTCAGATCTTATTTATTAATTTCCATCTCTCTGAATTTCTGCTCAGTGTGGTGGGATTTTTCTTCAAATATTAATTTTGTTCTCAGCAGTGATCATTACCTTCTTTGGTTTATGTAATAAAAATTTAAGGTTTTCTAGAACTTTCAGCAAGTCTTTTGTTGTTCTTATTGTAACTCTCTCTCTCAGTCTTTTTTGAAAATAAATTTCTCCAGTTCCTGGGTCAGTTCCTGTCAATGGGGCCACATGCTCTGGACCTGTCTGGTGCTCCTTCACCTGCCGGTGACCTTAGATGTGTGCACTTTCCCAACTCAGGCCTGGGTCTCACTGCTGGGAATTCTAAGGCAAACCTGCACTAAGTGGTCCACACTTCTTGTCCCTGTTCTTAGGAACAAAAAAAACCTCAAAAAACCATAACTCTTCTGTGAAAGGACTGCTCTCTGATTTCCACAAGTGGTCCTGCTCTACTCAGCACTAAGTCCCTAACCAACTCAGGGCACTGGTCAAGGCCAGGAAGAATGAGAAGTCCCCACACAAGACGCCTCGGAGCGAGATAGCCTTCTCTTCCAGGGCTCAACAACCATCTCAAAATCCTGAGATGCTGATCCACCCTTCCCCTGAGTTCCCAAAGCACTTGGGAGTCTCACAGGTCTTCTCCATGGCCCACCAGCACGATTCCTGAGGGCCTTCCATGTGGTGGGGATTGGTAAAAGCAAGACAGGCCCTGGTCTAATGCTCAGAGGTCACTGGTACCAGAGTGAAGGGGGGAAATGAGAGGGAGCCACGAGTGTGCACACACAGCCATCTTCTCAGAATGTCTCTCTCGCCCCCAAGATTGCCTCACCATGGCAATGCCAATAGAATACAAGTGTTTCTAATTCAGAGCTTCTTCTGAAACTTTAGCATCACAGACAGGACATGCCAAAAAAAATGAGTCCAATAATCCTAATAATCAAGTGCTTTGTATGTGTCAGTGTGTGATATTAAATATATGTGAAGATACATAAAGATGAGCAATGGCATACCTGCATGATTTTAGGCAATACATCAACTCCATTTTTAGTGTTTTGTATTGTAGTTAGATACTTCTTTTCCAAAAAGAAAGTTACAATCCACTTAATAAAAACAACACGAGCTGCCATGTATGGAATTTTTGTACTGTAAATGTTTTCAGTGTCTCGAGTTGTGGTAATGTACACTGGCTTTGGTCTTAAGTGGGGAATATCTGTAAGAAAAAAGAGCACATGATTAGGTTAGTGAAACCTGACATTATGTAATTCCTACAAATATTTCAGTTTCCAAGCAAATAGACATATATTTGGCTGTCTGAATAGCAACTAAGATTAAAGAACCAGAAACTATTTAGAATGTCATCCTTTGGAAGGTTCACTTCGAATTCTGCCTTGCAATCTGACCAAGATGAGTGATGGTGGTTGTTACTGTTTACTTACAGCTGTGGTAGACAGCTGTGGAAAATCTAAACTAATAACTCTTTTTCACAAATCTGAGAAATTACATAAGATTATAATAGTGAAAATGTTTTCACATATGTTATAATGAATTTAATCTTATTTTATGATTGGAACAAGTATAAAACCGTGTTATAAACATTTTTTCATCATTTTAAGTATTTTAACATCAACACTATACTAATAAAATCAACTGAACTTCAGTTTTATATCCTTTTTCCTTTAGATAACTCCAAATAAATAGAATCAGTATAATCCACTTTATATCTGAAAGAATTCAGAAAATCATGTTTCATTTTTGAGGTATCAGACACCACTATTTCCAAAGAATTAATAAGAGGTTCATTTTCATTCTTTGTATTACATAATCAATATGAAAATTATATTATAATGAATTTGAGATTAACTACTTGCTGTAATTACAATCTCTTACTAATTTTTGTACATGCATGAGGCAGAAAAATCCTTAGCAAACAACTTTATATTTCGGAATGTTAATAATATACTATGTTTTCTATAACATAAACTACTAATGAAATCAGAAACAAAATTTTTTAAAAATACCCACATACAAAGCTAACAAAATACATATCCTAGTACCCTCACAAGCAGTATTTCTACATCTTTCAAAATGCACCAAGTTTCAGTCGTTTCCCTCTTGCCAGAGAGAGAGAGAGAGAATGTGCATGTGGACAAATAAATGCCCACAGACAACTGAATTAGTTGTCCACATTCTCCATGTGGATTAATGTCTGTTGTAATCTTTTCCCCTCCCAAATGCTCTTAATTATTCATTGTAACTAATTTCACCTGCTTTAGATAACAGGCAGAGGAAGATTTGCCTCACCTCTACCTCTCTAAGAGATGCTTCTGGCCTGTGAATCCTCATTTCTTAAAGAAGGAAAACTTAAGAAGCTAAATTAAAAAATCCCTTATGTTTCCTTCATCTCTGGGCTTACAGTCCCTAGGCTGCCCAACTGCCCAACATCTGCCCCTCCATAAGCAACTGTGGGTCGTCTCTGCTGGGTGAAAGATCCAGTGAAAAAGGCAAGGCATGCTGTGGGCAGCTGTGTGGGCAGCTTGCCTGCCTATCTACTGAGCAAGGTCTGGGGTCACCACACCCCACCACCAGTAAGAGAAGACTTACTGAAATGTAAGCTTTATTTTTTTTCCATTAAAATATTTTAAATATAATCGCACCCCAAAAATCACAATTCACTGCAAATTATTTCTGAGTATAGGAGCCACAGTTCCCTCTTATTGATGTGAGTTGAGGTACATCTTAGTTTGTGTAAGCATTTAAAACAGTTAAAATCAGTTATTAGGAAACTTTAAACCTCTTACAGTAAAGTTAGCATTATAAGTATAAGAAAAAGATTACTATTTTACTTAAAAATAATCAGAGATCGCTTTGAAGGAAACTGTACAGCTTGTCTGTGAAAATCCTCCTTATACAGCTCAAATAGTACTTACCAAGTACAGGTTTGTAGATGTTTGTTAACTTAGTAAATGATGGAAATAAATGAGGAAGATAATACTTTCGAAACAATGTAAAAAGAAATTTAAAACCAGTATCTTGATTCTCCTTATTTTTCCACTCCAAGCTTGCAGCCTTTGGATAATATGTGGAAAAAACACACATATATTTACATTTCAAATTAATGTATACTAAACTGATTTATTTTTAAAATTGACAAATACTGATAATCATGTAATAAAATCATATCTTAAAACTCAAAAGATGACAAAAATGAATAATTCTAAACAAACCAGTAACTATGTTAAAAACATTTTTTATCGAGTATTAAAAAAAATTACCCAACAATCTTACTCTACTACATCATGTTCATATTTTTTTCACATGTTCTTTATAATGATTTAACATTCCTGGTGCCCTTAAAACATCTAATTAGCTATAAGGGTGCTTTTTTTAAAACTCAAAAAGGCCATTTATAATAAACAAGAATTAAGAAAACAAACCCTTACAAAGATTTCATCCAATGGTACCTCCATGCAAAATCAGTATCAAAAGATCCAGCTACGGAATCTTGGAAAATGCATTGTCCTTACTAAAAGCAATCCACAGGCTAGGAGAAGCTAGGGCTGCCAGTTCAACCCCCACCTATTAGTGGGGTCTTAGTACTTGTTAGAACACAGAGTGCTCTACACCAGTTTCCCCAAATTCCTTCATGACGCAGTCCACTTAGAAAATGATAACAGTTCAGCACCTGAGGTAAAGGAACGAGGGGCTTTGGCGGCTCCTGGGCAGAGGAGCTCAGTGTCTGTAACCTGCCAGAAGTTCTCTGTGATGGGCCAAGGCAGAAACTCTGCTCTGAGGACTCACCCAGAGAAAGGGGGGGCGGGGGCATGCACACATAATTCTGCACACAATATAGGGGCTTAGTCTAAATAAAAACCTCCCCCAATATCAATGGCTTCCTTCCTCTTATGGGATCCTGGTGACTTCCTAACTTATCTGAGGTCACACAGCTCATTAATGACACATCTAGAATAAAAACCTGTCTCCCAGCACATCGAAGACTGAGATACTCTATGCTTTTCTGGGACATATGGAAGGCCCTGCCACTTCTGAAAAGAGTTTGAGATGCATGTAGAATGGGCCAGCAGAGCTAAAATGTGGAGCTTCTGGAAGATGAGATACCCCAGCAGGACTCCCATGATGTGGAGCCCTGTGTTTCTGGTGCTGGCTAAAGGCAATGGGAGAGGAGAGCAGAAAAGATCACCCAGCAGGACAGAGTAGTCAGAAAGAGCAGCCAAAGGCTGAATCTTGAGGGACAGCAGAGAGACACACAGTCCCCCAAAGAAAGCTGGAAAGAAGCAAAAGGGAGGAGGAAAGCCGGAAGAAAACATCATGGGAGGAATCTCACGAAGGAGGGGCTGCCACTGTGAAATCATCTCAGAGACCGAGTACAGAACAAACGTAAGAGTGTCTTCCTCTGGACTTGACACAAGAACCCCTCATGTTCTTGAACTCTCAGCAGTGACAGGGCAGAGGGAGATGACAGAGGGTGTCGAGGAACGTCAGGTGAGAAAGTGAACTTGGCAGAGGTTATTACATCAACAAGCTTGGCTGTGAAGGGAAGGACAGAGACCGGACTATACCCAGGAGGAACTCAGGGATGAGCGAAGTGTTCGCTAAGAGAAAAGCACTCAGTAGCTTTTTTCTAATCATATCAATGTTCAGAAATACAGACTAAGAGACATAAATCACTTATTGAAATCATAATTATTTCAGTTCTGTATTCATTTGGTAAATGTAAGAGGAAGAAATATGTGACATAAAGCAGATCTGTGCTGATGGCATGATGAGATAATTACATAAGCTTTCATTCAAATCTCCCTGCCTGCTCTGCCTATTCCTGACCCACCATTCAGCCTCGGGGACTGCCTCCTTCTCCATCCTGCTTCACTAGCATGGAGATCAGGGTTAGGGAAGGAATAAAGAGGCAAAAATAGTTTAATACACTATGAAATAATATAAAATATACATATACTGGTATGTATGCTTCTGCCCCAGTTCCTGGCACAGAGCCCTATAACCCTTGTAACATCTTAAGTGTTGAGGGCACTAGGGGCATCTTTTTTTCTATTGAGGTGACTCTGGGTGGGCTCCTGGATGGGGGCTGATCACCAGAAAGACCAAGCCATGATTACAACTTGGAATTTTTAGCCCTTACCCCCACTCCCCATTTCTCCAAAAAGGGGAAAGGGACTGGAACTGAGTTAATGATCAACCATGGCTATGGGAGGAAACTGCCATAAAATCCCAAAAGCAGCGGTTTCAGTGAGCTTCCAGGTGGGTAAACACGCCCACGTACCAGACAGTGACGCACCCCAACTCCATGGCGACAAAAGCTCCAAACCCTGCTCCATGTATCCCTTCATCTGGATATTCACCTGTACCCTTTGTCATATTCTTCAATAAACTGGTAAACGTAAGTAAATATTGCCCTGAGTTCTGTGAGCTGCTCTAGCAAATTAACTGATTTTGAAGAGGGGGTCATAGGAACCTCTGATCTGTAGGCAAATTGGACAGAAGTTGTGGATAGCCTAGGACTTACTACTTGGGATTGGCATCTGAATGGGATGGGAACAGTCTCATGGGATTGAGACCTTAACATGTGGACCCTGATGCTATCTCCAGGCAGATAGTGTCAGAATTCAATTAAATTGTAGGATACCCAGCTATTGTCACATAGAATTACTCATTGGGGTAAAAAACTCAGATGAGCAGAAGTGTCATATGTGACATGTTCTGTGTGGATATGGTAATAATATTAAAGTAAAAGAGACACACAGATTGAGAGCTGAATTTTCCCCTTAACATGCACACTAACACAAAATAGTGTACATGCTTGGAATTTGCTGACGTGACCTGGTACATACTCTATGTTTAGTGAAATAGCACATAAAAACACCTCAAAAAGCCAAAATGCAAAATGTGGACAAACAGAAGAAAAGATAGTATTTTTCTCTTTCCTACTGAGAATAAGACCATCATTGAATTACCTACAATTTGCTCTTACCTGAATAACCATATATTTCAACAGTATTTGAAGAAAAAAGCATGTTTGGTCCTCAGCAATCTTTTCCCCTGATACGGCTGGCAGGAGTGGAGTGATTTCCTCTGGATATATCTTTGCTGTAGTGGAAAATAAGGAAAGCTCTTTCGCTACAGTTAAATTTTAAACAAGGTTTTTTAAAATGGCCTCTATTAAAATACATCTATCCATCCATTAGAACTGCTCACACAGACCACACCAGTGTGCATGAAGGGCTGGGAAACAGGAGACAGAAGGCCATGAAGCCACCCCTACCACTGCACCATCCTTTCCCTCTCAAATTCTGCTTTGGTCAGTCTAAGATCAAACACCTGTCATTTGGCAATAAAACTGACGTGCAGTTATAAATCCATGGTCCTAACAGGACAGAAATGGCTGCCAGTAATAGTCCCATGAGGCCACTATTGTCCTTCCATGAATGCTGCATGAAAATACACAGCTGGCAAAGAAAGAACCTGGGTGAGCAGATGAATGTCCACTTATGAAACAACAGTAATGAGGACAAAAGACAGTACTTTCGGGAAGTGGATATGAATTGCATTAACAGCCACAAAAACACTCCAGACATACCATGTGTCTCTACTTTCTGCTATTGCCAACATCTGTCTACTCCCTTCCATTTCTGTTTCCAACACTTCAGTAAACTTCTCTTGTCATCATTTTATATAAAATAGTCTGAAGTCTTTCAATTCTAATGTTTGTAAGACTCTACTGTGACTATGAACAGGATTCCTCTCCAAAATTCATCTATGAAATCAAGATTTCTATTCAAGAAAATGACAAACCAAGGAATTCCTTAATGTACCTTCAAGAGTCCTTTCAACCAGTAAGATCTGCTCACATCACTCACCATCAGCTACACTAGGGCTCGGATTGATGAGTGTCTCCAAAGTACAGGGTCCTCTGGAGGACAAGATTGCTGGGAAACCAGGCACGAGGCAAGCAAAAATCAGCACCTGCTCTTCTGCACAGTTTGTCTGAAGTGCTTGAAGCCACAGAAGAAACAGCCTGATTCCTTCACATCTTATCTAAAAACAAAATTAAAAGTAACGAAATTAAACATATGTATATGGAGAAATGCATTTTAATGTAGCATCAGTTCCGAGAAAGAAAAACTAGAGGTGAAAGGTACTGTTAAAGTACTGCACCAAGTTCTTTACTTCGAGACAAGTAAATAAGGATACTGCAATACAGCACAAAGGTTAAGAGCTTGGGTTCTGGAGCCAGAGTGCCCGGGTTCAAATGCAGGCTCTGCCACTTTCTAGCTTAGCTGTGACCTGTGGAAAACCACTTAACCTCTCTATGCCTTAGTCACTCCACCTGTAAAACTAGGGATAACAGAATTTACCACGAAGTACTGGTATGGATCGAGTGAGTTAGAACAGTGCCTGGCTCCCAGCAAGCACTGTGTATCTCCTATTAAACGTATTTCATTCCATAGGCACAATGCCCATATCATCAACACTCAATTACCCATGAACAATGCAAAAAAATCTTCCTCCAAATTTGCACTGTGCTTTGGACAGCATTCATGTCATGTCACTACAATGGGCACAAGTCCAATGCTCCTGTAAATCAGGACACTTAGAGCTAAATAAGACTTTGAAGAACTGGCTCAGTGGGCTGGGGCAGCTCTCATGTCCCTATCTATTCTCTCCAACACCTTTGCCATGTTCTAAATGCTGAGCATCACTGGTAGAAACATCTATAGAGGCAGCTGTGTCCTTCCTCCTCCTCTACACTTACTTCCAACTTCATTCTATTCCAAGAATTCATAAACACCGGTACTTCCACTTCTATATACCTAAATGGCTGAAAAGATAACATCCAAGAAAGAAATTAAATAAGCAAAAGAGATGAAAAAGTGTCAGACAGAGCTGAAAGATTAGTGAGCTCCAAATGTAGGCAACTGAGGGACTGCCTGGCCGCCTTTCAATTACACCAAGGTATGGATCCTGCCAGAGTGAGTATTCAAGCCAAACAGGAGGCTCTACAGAAAAGCCAAGGGAAGGAAAAAGGCCAAAAAAAAGAAACAAAAAGATTGGCTAACACCCCACAGAAGTCAAATTCACAAAGACAAGTGGCAGTGCTACTCCCATTAACAATGGACTCTACAGCGTACTTTCAGATCTGCTAGTGAACTCTCTACTCATCTGCACAAACCCCCATGGACACTCACATCTGTCCTAATCCCAAGCAGGTAAATTAAGTAGTGACATTACTGAATGCATAATGCTATTCAGACTCAGACAAAAAATGACATGGTACTATGTGTACCTAATCAAATTATATTGAATTTAACAAGAAGAAAGTTCAAAATTCTATCACAAGTCTCCAATATTTTTAAGCTAACTGTATTTCAGGTAACTAACATAAATAAGGCCAATAAGAAACATGAGAGAACAACCTCACAGGTTTTAACTGTAAGACTATTCATTATAAGAGGAGGGACAAAACACAGAATCTATTGTGAAGCTAGAAGTAGCTCGCCTCCTTGTTTTGGCATGCAAGAGATATTTAACATGCCAAGTTTAAGTGGCTATGATGGTTAAACCAAAAAATGTAGTAGCTTACTAAAGGCACACTCATAACTTAATGAGCCACAAGTGAATTACCTTCCATAAAATATACATCCCAGGCTGGCTTCTATGCCAATGATGTTTTAGTGCCATCTTATCCCAGCATCAAATGGTATGTCATTATAAAAGGCATATTCATTTTAAAATCAGACAATTTTAACTTAAATTACAAGATCAATCTGCTGTACATTAATAAATATTCAAGAGGAAGGCTCTGCTGCTCTTTCCCACACAACGGTGCTCAAAAATAATTCAGAGACAACAATGATTTTAACAAGATTACTGAGTGAACAGAATCAGGCACGTTAGCTCTGAAGCTTAGAAAGGAACTGGTTCAACCCCTTCCCTTTTCTGATGATAAAACTGGAGCAGTTAGCACCTTGCCACTGGTTCCCTATCTGTATACAGCAGAATCAAATTTAGAATTCCAAACTCCAAATCCCAAGCCAGTTTCTCCTAATATTATTTAAAATGTCTATCACAATAAGTTACGATGTAAGAACAAAACTAACAATATTGGAAATATAATTTCTCAATTAAAAATAAAAACTAAGCCCTAGTCAGTTTGGTTCAGTGGATAGAGCATCAGCCCACAGACTGAAGGGTCCCAGATTTGATTCAGGTCAAGGGCACGTACCTCAGTTGTAGGCTTAGCCTGGTTGGGTGCATGCAGGAGGCAACCAATCGATGCTTCTCTCTCTCTGTCTCTCTCCTTCCCTTCCACTCTCTCTAAAAATCAATGGGAAAATATCCTTGAGTGAGGATTACCAAAAAAATATTAAAAATAAATAAAATAAAACTAAAAACTAAGTCAAGTGGTTTTTAAAGTTCTTTTCAAGTGGCCTAATTTTGTTACTTTATGGAATAACTTAAGAGTAATAAAAAACGCCATTACACATTCATCTAAAATAAATACCTTAACAGAATTTCCAGTGTGTAGAAGCTTCTTTAAAGTTGAGCCTGAAAGTTTAAAACAATAGATTAGAAATGGAGTATATAAATTTAAGATCTATTTTTAAAAGATCAGTTTTAGAAAGAAAAAATGTTTTTATAATAAAAGATAAAAAATAAAAGAAGGCTGACTTTCAAAAACAAAGCAATGTCATGGAAGGAGAGATGTTTTTAAGATAAAAGTACTTTGAATATGAACCTTTTCAAAATTCTTTTAAAAGAGTCAAAATGATTGATATTAAGGAAATACAGATACCCACGGACATTAAGGAACTCTTTTCAAATAAGAACAAATTTGTGCAGTGGGGATGTAAGAGCAGAAGGTTTCAACATGAGAACTGGTGATAAGGACCTAAGAGCCTTGCCTGGCCACTTAAAGTATTTCTTCACACCATAAATTCACAAAGATATTTCTACTCTAACTTTACCATTATGAAATCCTTTTCATTTTAATTTCAAAAAGTTTATTTGTATATATCTTACCTGTTTGATTTTTAAACTTATCCAAACTATCACGACAGCCATCCCCATCTCTTCAACCCTACTGGTTGCCTCTACATTGATTCATGTGAAAAAAAGAATTAATGAATAAGTAAAATCTATTTAGTTGAATTGATTCTCTGAATTTCTAACTTCTATTGGCTAGCTTTTATTGTATTTATAAATAACCTTAAATGTAAGTCTTACTACTTTTGAGGAGGCAGTAAGAATATCAAGGCTGGGACTAGGATGAGAAGAGTGAAGATTCTGCAAAAAAATTAAGGCGGCAACAAAAACTCAGTAGTCAAAACAAATATCTTAATGAAATAGTTTTTAAAATTAATACAAAAAATCCATAATGACCAATATTAAAATTTTACATAAGTATCAATGTTGAGCTGAGTCATACTAGAGCCTGGGGTAAAATGAAAAATATATACCACTATATATATTTTTAATGGGCAAATTTCCCCAAAATTTTAAATGTCAAAAAAATATTGAAAATCAAAAAACTCAATATTAAAAAGTATTTTAAAATCACATTATTTAAATATTTTATTTATAAAACAGAATGTAATATAATTTTGCTTTCTTGGTTTTAACAGAACCAAATTCATCAATATTTTCTAAATCTACTTTCTTGCTCATCTCATTTTCAATTCCAAGAATTGCCATTCTTGGTAATTTCTACTCAGGAAGAACTGACAATCATTTAAAAATCTTTTTCAAGGCCGTAAATTCACAAACATAGTTCGAATCTAAATTTAACATTATAAAATCCATTCTTAATTTAATTTTTTAAAAACTCCCTCTATATATCATGCCTCAAACAATTAATAAGAAATGCAGTATGCCTCCCCCAACCCCAGCAAAGGGGCAAAAACATAGAGAAATGCCCTCTGGGAGCTGGCCTGCAAGATCTGTTGAAAGTTGCCAGTGGAGCAGAAACACAGAACCTTCTGGCACTATAAATGTCTATGATAAATGCAAGAGAGCAGCAGTCCACTAGAGGAATTTGAAATTAACAAAAATTAACTCAAAATAAATCAAGGACATAAATGTGAAACATGTAAGTATAAAACTTCTAGAAGACACAGGAGAAGATCTTTATGATTTGGGTAAAATAAAGCATAGGAAATACAGTTGATAATATTATGCCTGGTGGGTGCTTGAAATATTGGGTGGATCACTTTCTAAAACATGACTGTCTATCCACTATGCTGTACACCTGAAACTAAATAAAATAATACTGAATGCCAACTGTACTTGAAAAATAATATTTTTTTAATCTTAAAAAATGTTTATATAGCACTGTTCTTCCTACTACATACAGAATACTAGATTTAGAATGTAAAAAACTAAAGTAAGTAAGGATAGTAGAAACCTAAAATGTCAGCTACTGGCTATTGAAAAGCTTCCTGCGCTAGCCTCAGATGTTGTGTAAAAGTCAAGATGCCAAAGCTAAGACAAAATTTAAGGCACATTCCTTTGAAATCTGGAATTCCATTATAGTTTCTTAGTTTCTACAACTAACTTGGTCAATACCTTGAGTGACAAATAGTAATGGTTTTAACAAGTCCAAATAAACTGGGAAGAATGCAAGAGGCACAGTGACATGTGTTAAAAAAAAAACACAAAGTGTAGAATTACAAATCCCTAATCCCTAATAAGCAATTGCAAAATCTGAAAAGCTAAGAAATCTGGAGGTTTTTGTGTAATTTTTCAGTGGACAGGAACTGACCTGCTCTGAACTCATGTGATGTCAATATCTGACTAACCTGAGGTTCTGCTGAATTAGCCCACTGATGACGAATACTCCTATGTTAGGCTACATAAGTAATAACTCTCTTGGTTACAGGGTGCTGCCCAGATCCTTAGGAGTGTTATCTACAGACATTAACACTGTGTGAATATTCACTGTACATCAATACACCATAGTGCCATTCTAAATCTGAAATAGTAGAGGCCCAGTGCACGAAATTCATGCATGGCAGTGGGGGGCGGGGGTCCCCTCAGCCCAGCCTGCACCCTCTCGCAATCCAGGACCCCTTGGGGGATGTCCAACTGCTGGTTTAACCCGATCCCAGGGATCGGGCCTAAACCGGCACTCGGACATCCCTCTCACAATCCTGGACCTCTGGCTCCTAATCGCTCCCCTGCCTGCCTGCCTGCCTGCCTGGTTGCCCCTAACTGCCACTCCCCCCCCCCACTGGCCTGACCACCCTCACTGCCTTTGTGTGCCAGCCTGATCGCCCCTAACTGCCACTCCCCCCCCCCACTGGCCTGACCACCCTCACTGCCTTTGTGTGCCAGCCTGATCGCCCCTAACTGCCCGCCGCTGCCAGCCAGGTCACCCTCAACTGCCCCCTCCCTGCCGGCCTGGCTGTTCCTAACTGCCCCCCTGCCGGCCTGGTTGCTCTCAACTGCCCCCCCTGCTGGCCTAGTTGTCCCTCACTGCCCCCCCCTGCCAGCCTAATCTCCCCCAATTGCCCCCCCCCCCCCGCTGGCCTGGTCACCCCCAACTGCCTCCTCCTGCTGGCCTGGTTGTCCCATGCAGCCTGCTATTCAGTCGTTTGGTCGTCCCTCACTAACCCCCTGCCGGCCTGGTTGTAGGCAGCTATCTTTGTGAGGGCGTGAGGGTCAATTTGCATATTACCTCTTTATTATACAGGATTCTCATTTCAAAGCACATCTAGCTTGAAGATCATCATAAAAGGGATGTGGACCTGTCTAACATCAATTCCTACCCAATTTGATAAATCATGGAAAAATATACTTACCTGAAAAGAGCCTGTTTGATTCAAGCACTAAGTATATAATCATCAATTATAAGAATTCTTTTACATGCAAATGGTTAAACTTCAGCCATGTTCTGAAACATGGCTCATTCTGAGTACGTTACAGGGCCAGCTTATTCTACTACTACATACGCTAGATCAGAGGTCCTCAAACTTTTTAAACAGGGGGCCAGTTCACTGTCCCTCAGACATTCCACACATGCGCACTGCGGGCCCGGGACGAGTCGGCTGCTAAGCAGGACAGGCAGCGGCGGCAAAAACACCCGGCGGGCCGGATAAATGTTTTCGGCAGGCCGCATGTGGCCCGCGGGCTGTAGTTTGAGGACTCCTGCGCTAGATAAACAACACCTGCTCTTACAATGGCTCAGGAGACCTAGTACTTGGTAATCCCAATCCAGGAGTCAGTGTTCCTGGTAAGATGCTATCAAAGCTACTTGTACCAGCAATTTTAACAGTAACCATGTGGTATTAGGCAGAAGTAAAGTACTAACACATACTGTCTAGTAGATGCACAAAGTTTCACAACATATTTCACAAATTAATTTCCACACATAGTTCTAATAAATTTATTCATGCTGAAAGGAGCCTACCAGTCTTCAGACATTTTAAAGTACTATCTGAAGAAAATGAGTATGATTTTCATATAAATTACAAACAAAATTGAAAGATTATAGCTAACACAAACTAAAAAAAAAATACTTCACTTAGTTATTTCTCATTGTCACCAATTCCTGCTATATCATGGAAAATAACAAATCCCCATGATGAATCTTTAGATTATACTTAACATTTGATTTAATTTTACTTTAATTTAAATATACAAAGTCAAAGCATCAATTAGCAGAAATGCTATCAATAACTCTCTAAAATTTAAAGAAAAACCTTCTCTATGTGTTTGAAAGATTTAAGACCACGGCACTTATCTTTAATAATTTAGTCATTCAGTTCAATAGATGTATGTGCCATATGTACTTTACTTTCTTTACATTTATAAATGTAAAGGCCTGATACACGAAATTCATTCAAGGGGCTCAGCCCTCACAGCTGCGGTGGCTTGCCTCGGCCCTTGCAGCCAGCTTCGTCCAGAAGGTAGTCTGGAAAGGTTGTTTGGCTATCTGGTCTAATTAGCATATTACACTTTTATTATTATAGATAATTTTAAATTGTTTATATAAGAATCAGTCACATTTTTCACATAAATAATCCTAAATTAAAATTAACATTCTGAATTTTAGAATATCCACTAAATAAGCCATATTCTTTCAGGTTCCATGTCTTTATATATTGATTTTTCTACCTAAAAAGCCCTTTCCACACTCGCCTTTCAAGGCTCAGATTAAAATTATCTCTCTTGTGTTACTCAATTCCTCTGAATAGAATTATTCAACTTTTCTTCTTTGCTGCCATTATACTTCTTTCAAAGTGACAGTTATACTGTAATTATTTTTTCTCATCTAACCCCCACTAGGCAATTGGCTTATACAAGGATGGTTTGATATTCTTTGTTTTTGCCCCAGAACTTTGCACACAAATATCTCTCCTTCAGTAAATATTTGACTGTATGAACGATCAAATAGTAAAGATTCCATAATGAGGCTATGCTCTCCTCAAATACAATCCTATACAATCCTATATAATAAAAGGCTAATATGCAAATCGACCGAATGGCAGAACAACCAGTGGCTATGACATGCACTGACCACCAGAGGGCAGACACTCACACAGGAGCTGCCCCCTGGTAATTAGTGCGCTCCCACAGGGGGAGCTTCGCTTAGCCAGAAGCCAAGCTCATGGCTGGCAAGTGCAGCAGCGGTGGCGGGAGCCTCTCCCACCACCACAGCAGTCAGACATCCCCCAAGGGGTCCCAGACTGCGAGAGGGTGCAGGCCAGGCTGAGGGACACCCTCCCCCCCGAGTGCACAAATTTCATGCACCAGGCCTCTAGTCATCTAATACAAGAAAGTTGTAGGAAATGTCAGTCTTCTAAGGCTAAAGGACTAAACCAACACTTTAAAAAGAAGGTCAAGTTCACAATCAATACCACAAATTACTCCAGTTGTGCTGTGAATACTACATTGAGATGTAATGTCCGATGTCAAGAGTTGGACAGAAAAGGCAGTCGTGGCAACTTGCTCTATTTTAAGCTCCCTCTTGCTGCCACATTCTACAGCATTCAAACAGAAGGATTTTGAGCCAATGATCAAAGCTTGAAGAACAAGATATTTTTGTAAGTAAAAATGTAAAATTACTTTAAAATTCTAGATCAATGTTTCCAAACTTTTTTGCACAGGAATCCCTGGGGCTCTTGTTTAAAAACTCAGAGTATAATTGAGCAGATCTGGCTGGGGCTGAAATTCTGCACTTTTTAACAAGCTCTCTGTTGAGTATGCTGCTGCTATTCTACCAACCACACTTCAGCATAGAAAAGTACTATATTTTCCTTCAAAATCCAGGTTGGTCTTGTCTTGGTTTTAATTAGCATACCCTTGCTGATTTTCCTTGCTATAACCTATCTTGATGGTGTTAATTTTTTTAAAAAATGCTAAAAATTCAATGAGAAGAAATCTATATTACTTTAAAAAATATTTAATTGTTCTTACCTATACTCTGGTAATGCCATCGAAAGAAAATGCGTTCAGGTAGAAACTGTAGTATTTTCTATAAAAAAAACAAAACACACAATAACAACAAAATCATAAGACATAAAAAGAAAATAAACTACAAATGAAATGAAATTTTTTCATGACAGGCCCATAGTGATTACTATATATGTTTCAGAAAATAAAATAGAAAAATTATTTGTAATAACATATATACTGTACTTTATCCTATACCCCTATGGGAACAGTTTCATTTACTTGCCCCATGCAAGCTTCCTGAATGTTTTAAAGAGATTACTGTCCCAGGTTTAACTCCCCCTATAGGTGACCATGATAAGAGGGTGACTGACCATGGCTAGAAAGCTAAAGGCATAAACAGGCAGAGGCTGCCACTGATCCACTCCTTACAGCTGGACAGCAAATTCTTTCTTTAAAAGGGGATGTGAGCAGCACATCTCTATGTCTGCCACAATAACATGTGAATGATTAATTAGAATATTCTCATCATATGAAGAGATCGTGGAACTAAGAGAAGGTACCCTACTTCAGGGACACAATCTATACTGACAATGCTTCTCATCGGTTGACTATTGCCTCATACGGATGGAAGCCTGGGTGCACTGAGTCCTTCCTGTACTTTTCCTGCCTCCTTCTTGAGCAAACGATACAGCAGAGACCCAGTGTCTTATTTTCTCATGCATTTTCCTCCAAGGGGACTTGGCATATCAGCTACATTCCAGGATCATCTTCTGATCCCATCTTGCCAGTTAATTTTAAAATGTCTTATAGAAGAGGAACCAAGATGGTGGCATAGGTAAACACCGAAATTGCTGCCTCCTACAACAACTTCACAAATACAACAAAAAGACAAAATGGACATCATCCAGAACTACAGGAAGGCTGGCTGAGTGGAAATTCTACAACTAGAAGGAAAGAGAAAAGCACACTGAGACTCAGAGAAGCTGTGGAAGTAAAGTGCAGAGGTACGGAGGCTCGAGCGTGCACCCGCGGAAAGGGGCTGGTACCTGAGGATGCAGCTGTCTTTTTGAATCGGGAGGGAATCACAAGCTTCCGACTGCTCTGAACTCCAGTTCCGGGAAGTCTCTGGGGAACCAGGACTCATACGGGGAGAAACTAGACTGTCTGCCAACAGGCAAAACTCAGAACTCGAGGGCGGCTTTCCCTCAGAGGTGCTTGCAGCAATTAAATTAACAGGACACTGAGACGCACGGCCCCCTAGGGCAGGGCTGAGGATCTGCCATAGCTGCTTGCTCCGCCCTGTTGATTCCTTGAGACCCCGCCCCACCCAGGCTGCGGCAGAGGCTTTTGCATATGAATGCCCTGGCCCCTTGGAATCTGAAAATTACCTAACAAATTACAGCTGGGCCAGACAGACCCAGAACTTCCAAGAGAAGGCCCAAGGCCCCACAGCAGCTTGCACTGCTTCACAGCTGGGCCTCATCTGGGCACCTCCAAACTCCAAAAAAGGAAGGGGAATCTGCAGATCTTTTCGTAGCTCCTGCTGGGTAACCTCAGGCAGAGAATAAATTAGCACCTCCTTAGAGATCCAAGAGCCAGCGTACCCAGTGGTCACAGTGGGACCATCCAGATTACAACTCCTCAGATCCATAAGGGACACACTCAGGGGGCAGACTCAGTGAGCACCAAAGCCCCACTGAAGCAAGTCTTGCCCCAGAAGGGTGTCTTCAGCACAGAAGTTCTCCCACTGCAGACACAGCTGATTCTCACTGCCAATTGGCCTGGAGGTCAATTCCTCCCAGTGATACCTACAACAATCAAGGCATAACTACAACAAGACTGTGCACAAAGCCCACAAGGGGGTGCACCAAGAGTGTCCACCTCAGGTAACTGGGGAGGCTGAGCCACTGGGCCCTATAGGACACCTAGCACACAAAGCCACTCTACCAACACAGGGAAGCATAAAAAATGTGGAGACAAAGAAACAGGTCACAAATGACAGAAATAGAGGAAAGCAAACGACTGGATATAGAGTTCAAAACCACCTTTATAAGGTTTTTCAAGAATTTTATGGAAACCGCTGATAAATTTAGTGAGACCCTGGAGGATATGAAAAAAGACCAACTAGAAATTAAGCATACACTGACTGAAATAAAGAATAATATACAGAGATCCAACAGCAGACAAGAGGATCCCAAGAATCAAGTCAAAGATTTGAAATATGAAGAAACAAAAAATGCCCAACCGAAGCAAAAAGAAAAAAAAAAATCCAAAAAATATGAAGATAGTGTAAGGAGCCTGTGGGACAACTTCAAGCGTACCAACATCAGAATTATAGGGGTGCCAGAAGAAGAGAGAGAGCAAGATATTGAAAACCTATTTGAAGAAATAATGACAGAAAACTTCCCCCACCTGGTGAAAGAAATAGACTTACAAGTCCAGGAAGCGCAGAGAACCCCAAGCAAAAGGAATCCAAAGAGGACCACACCAAGACACATCATAATTAAAATGCCAAGAGCAAAAGACAAAGAGAGAATCTTAAAAGCAGCAAGAGAAACTCAGTTACCTACAAGGGAGTACCCATACGACTGTCAGCTGATTTCTCAACAGAAACCATGCAGGCCAGAAGAGAGTGGCAAGAAATATTCAAAGTGATGAATAGCAAGAACCTACAACCAAGATTACTTTATCCAGCAAAGCTATCATTCAGAATTGAAGGTCAAATAAAGAGCTTCACAGATAAGGAAAAGCTAAAGGAGTTCATCACCACCAAACCAGCATTATATGAAATGCTGAAAGGTATTCTTTAAGAAGAGGAAGAAGAAAAAGGAACTCTTACCATTTGCCACAGCATGGATGGAACTGGAGAGCATTATGCTAAGTGAAATGAGCCAGTCAGAGAAGGATAAATACCACATGATCTCACTCATTTGTGGAATATAATGAACAACATAAACTGATGAACAAGGACTGATCCAGAGACGGAGAGGCAATTCATTGGACTGTCAGGCCTTGGAGGGAAGGTAGGGGAGGGTGGAGGTAAGGGGGAAAGATCAACCAAAGGACTTATATGCAAGCATATAGGCCTAACCAATGGACACGGACAACAGGGGGGTGAGGGCATGAGCGGGGGGCGGGGGGGGGGAGGGGGTAACGTGGGGATAAGGACACATATGTAATATCTTCATCAATAAGAAATATATTAAAAAAATAAAAATAAAAAAAATAAAATGTCTTATAGAAGATACTAAGAAAATTACTGTAGAGGTCCGGATAGATCTTATCTTGGACTAGACGAATGTCTGCATGCGCACTGTTCTTTACTTTAGTCAGGAAACCAATTTGGCACTGAGTCATGCTTTTCAGATTTTCAAAATACTTATTTGTTTTCATGATTTAGGTTTCTTTTCTTAGTATGCAATAAAGAAAAAAGAAACATAAAGAATACAGCAAGTTGATGTATCTAGATGCTTGGGTACTTTCAGTTAGACACAAGGAATCTCTAACTTGTTCTGTCGGGCCTATCACTACCATCACTTCTGAATAAAAGTTTTCAGACTTACAAAGTGGATGAATTTTAAAAACACTTAAAAATAAATTCAATAATGTTCAGGTATGTAACACAATGCCCAATGCCAGAGCTACTAAAAATATTTCTAAAGGGACAGAATATTATAGAACTCAAAGGCCAAAACACCATCCACACTGAAATTTCTTTTTGCACCCAAATATTGCAATGGCCATTTTATATACTAAGTCTATGAGGTCAATAAAAATAAAGACCCACACAACCATCCGTGTCTAAATGCTAAGCCTGTCCCCTAGAAAGTCCCAGATGAAGCCTACTTCACTGAGGCATATACAATATGGCATTTCTACTGCAGCCAATATTCTAAGCTACACGACTGTGAATGCCATATAAACTATTGACACCTTATAGTTTCACTGGAGAGTAAAATAAAGAAAATTTTTTCAGGAAAGCAACACAGTGTGAATAAATATTACTTTTCAGAAAAACACATGGCTCTGTTTAATGCTCAGTGCTCAGCTACATCTATATGGTAATCCATTATAGCACACTCGAAATCAAAATTAGGTATTACTAACTGATCAGCACAACAGGGAATCTGTCATTCTTTTAACTGATTATCCATAGTTCTTTCTTCTTCAGAACCTACTGCATGACCAGGAATAATGTAAAATTTAAGCTGGAGTTTGTACAAGATGCTATCTATGGTGTACTTTAAAACTGCTATTGTTGTCCCATACACTGAAGAGGTCGTGAGTTCAATTCCTGGTAAGAGCACATTCCAGGGTTGTGGGTTTGATCCCTGGTCAGGCACATGTGTCAGGCAACTAATGGATGTTTCTCTCTCACATCAATTTTTTCACTCTCTCCATCCCCTCCTTGTCTACCCTCAGGTAAGGAATTAAAAGAAATAAAATAAAATTGCTGACTGTAATTAAATTTTTGCGGGAAACATTTTTTTTTCAAATAATTACCAAATGACCATTAGATTCACACTTGATTTCAATTCCACTTAGAAAGGGAAGACAATGAAAAATGAGAAAAATATTACATATTAGCTCATATAAGGTATACTAAAGCAATGACCAACAAAACATATCCCAAAGTAGAGGAAAAGGGGAGAAACTTTCCCTGAAACTAGCTGCATGACACAAGATGCTTGGTCAAGAAAATGACCAGGAAGAGAACAGAAGTCCAGTAACCCTTTGAGTTAAAAGTGCTCAGAAAACTATGATGAGAACTGAGTAGTTATGTTTAAAGGAAACATCCTGTGAATGCCTGTGCTAAAAGGATAGTCTGGCTTTAGAAAGACCCAAGTGAGTAGGAGCCCAGTGGCATGGACACTTCCAGGTAGACCTATGGAAAGGGCAACTTATTCATCAATTGTCTTGGGCCTGGCCACTCATCTCTTACTAAAAATGACTTGACTTCCTGATATGGACAAAATATTTTTACTGAGCTCTGAATGTCAACACTTGTTTGGAACCTTAAATTTTAAGAGAAATAGAACTAAAATAAGGAACTACAAAATAAATAAGTAAACAAACAAA